AGGAGGAGAGTCATCCCAAGGGAGGGATGCATCCTTCCAAGGAGAGGGGAGCTCCCACCCCGAACCTCAATCAACCATGCAAAGGGAAGCAACGGGGAGGGATGATGAGTACGGGAGTGGAAGGGATGTGAGAGAACATGGTGATGGGATTGACGTGGGAAGAAACATGAGAAGGCAGATTGGTGAAGGGAGCGGTAGAAGCAGTCATGTGGGCATGGAGGGTGTGGGATTCGAATCCTACACTATTGGTGCTCCCCCACTGCGTCGACTTGCCACTAACACCCATCCCATTGGAGTTCCCATAATGGGCAGATCTCACCTTTACGGCAACGTCGTACCCCCTCGTGCGCAATGGTCTCAACCGGAAGCTGTACCTGCAGGAAGCATCGGGCGCATGGGGCACGGGATGCAATCAAGTGGAGTTATGCGACGTGACCAAGTGGAGGTGGTGGAACGTGAAGGGACACAACGCACGGTGCAACTACCTCGACCATCTACCGTGCCTACGCTCTTCGACCCGTCTCCTCGCGAGTACACCGAAGAAGATAAAGACAGGCTGTCACGCAAGATGGTGGGAGCAACGGTGGACAAGGCGTTCACAACAACCCCGTTCGACGGCACTAACTTTCGAGAGTGGGCGCTTCGATTTCGCATGAACGCGCGCATGACCAATCTGTGGGAGTTTTTCGTAACACTACAATACCCAGTGACAATGGCGAATGGAGAAATGCGAGATGCAATGGAACGGCTGGAAGCTCTGCAAGCAGATTACTCACAACGTGCTACGCTGGCGTTTTGGGTGCTTCTACATAGCGTGAGCGCAGCGATTCAGCTACAGCTGGACGTGTTCCAAGAGTCATACAGTCCGGCATTCGAAGCATGGGGAGCCAAGAAAGGGTGGAGGAATACATCCACCGGGCAACTGCAATTCGGGACAAGTTGGCAATGGCAGGAAAAATAGTGGACGAAGATTCATTCACCTTAAACCTGATTACCGGGCTACCGCCGCATTGGGAGGAGCTAAGGCACTCGGGACAGCTACACATTGCAACGAATGATGATTCAGGAACAACGCTACCAAGACCTCGTTAGCAAGACCAACCGTGACAAACGTCCTCCCCGCATGGCTGGTCAAGCACGTGGAGATACTTCACCAGCAAAGGAGAGGACCGAGACAAAGGGCAACCAAAATGCGGCAATGGGAGAACAGCATGCGACGGTGGGGGAAAAATCCAAAGGCAACGAAGAAAGGGGAGGGCGCTCAAACCTTGTGTGTTGGTACTGCAAGGAACCTGGCCACCCGTTCTACAAGCTTCCTAAGGCGCCTCCGGGTTGGTCACCACCAGATTGGGAACCACAAAACAGAGGAAGGACAAACCAGCGCAACTGGAGTAGCCGTTCGTCCACGCCTCGAAGGAGTGAAAGCCCGAAACGTGATAGCCAAGCGTCAAAACAGCAAGGAGCAGCCGGGGGAGACAACAAACGAACCGTTACATGCATTGCAACGGTTCGATCGTCACAAGCAACATTACCGTCAACCGGAGGGTCGATGTGGTTGCTGGACAGTGGATGCAGCCAACACATGACTTCAGAAAAGGAGTGGTTTGAGGGTCTAGAAGAGCTGAACAAACCTGTTTACGTGGAGCTTGCTGACGGAAGCCACCTGTTGAGCTCGATGGCGGGAACAATCCGAGCAACGGCACCCAATGGAACAACAGTGCGCTACACGGACGTACTCTACGTACCCGGCTTGAAGTCCAACCTGCTCTCTTATTGCCAGCTGTACAAGAAGGGAGCTCGCATTCACACACGTGAGGATGGACACACGGAGATCACAATGGCGGATGGGGATGAGCATGTACTCATTGGAGTTGGAATGGTCATGCATGGGGTGCTAATGGTGCAATATGAGCCTGCACTTACATGCGCCCATGCATCTGGTCATTGAAGCATTGAATGAGATTGACCTTGGAGGGCTGAATGTGCAATCTGCTCATGCATCCATCACATATCGCATGGTCCACAAACGCTTGGGTCACCCATCATACACATCCATGGACGCAAAATTCCGCAATGGAGATGTTGAAGGACTCTCCATATCCGACAAGACAAAACCCCTCAAACGCCCGTGTGACTCATGTCTTCGAAGGAAGATGAGTAAGGCCCCATTTCCCACGGGTGGTGACAAGCGCACAATTCGACCTTTAGAGCTCGTGCATAGCGACATCATGGACTTGGGTGACGCTCACCCCTCACTTCGCTACGTGCTGACGCTCAAAGACGACTACACCAACTACCTGTGGGTGGCGCCGTTGGCTCGCCGATCCGACATGGCAGCTGTTTTCTCGGCTTGGCATCGCGAAATGAAGACCAAGCTGCCCACGAAACCGCTGGCTGCCTTACGCACGGACAATGGAGGGGAGTATACAGCCAATGCATTCACGGATTATCTGAGTGCTCAAGGCATCTGTCACCAAACGTCTTTACCACACACGCCGCAGCAGAATGGAGTCGCCGAGCGGGTTAACCGAACGCTCATGGACCGAGTGCGTGCAATGACTGCCGGGGCCAGCCTTTCCTCCAAGTTCTGGCCTTATGCGCTGGAATACGCAGCTTGGTTACACAACCGCATCAGCTGCAGCAGCAACCCATCCGCACACTCACCGTACTTCATGATGACGGAAAAGGCAGCAGATGTCTCCATGGCCAGGACTTTCGGATGCCTCTGCTACTATCTCCCTCCCCAAGGCAGTTTTGGGAAATTTGAGCAACGAGGACGGGCAGGCATGTTTCTCGACCTCTCTAACTCACGAAAAGCATGGATCGTGCGGGACTTGGCAAGCGACGTTGACACAGACACACGCTCGGCTCGTTTCTTTGACGACCTCATGCTCCCGGACGCCGAGTCTCTGCTCGAACGCCAACGGTACATGGATGAAGTCTCACCTCATATCTCGGAGTGGACTTCAGGGGGAGCCGACGTTGGGTCAGCATTCGACTCTTTTCCCGCATCTCACACTTCCTCCCCGTCATCTTTTGACGTCGCTACAGCAAAGCAACATGGAACTAAGACAAATGACGCAACTCAAGAAGACCCACCAGCAGCTAAGGAAGCCAGTACAGGAGAAGAGACCGCAAGGAATGACTTACCAGCGGCAAGCATCTCTGTTGGTGAGGGTGCTGACAACAACGAACCAGAAAATGCAACAAGTCATCTCTACGACTATGCCTACTTACCCGATGGGATCCCGCTGGCTGCTCCTGACGTGCCACCACGGCGGGTTCACTTCAACCCAACGGTGACAGTGCTTGGAGAAGGACAAAGGACGGACAACATGACAGGACTGGACGTACTATTTGGGAGGCGGGAGGCAGGACAAACATTCACACGATTTCCCAACTTGCAGCAGCAGCTCGTACTGGGATGTGCAGCAACCGGCGTCCCCATGGTGGAGCTGACATACAAAGAGCCAAAAACACTTCAAGAAATGACCGAGGACCCGTACGCACCTCTTTGGCAAGCCGCTGTAGATGCAAAATTGGTCAAGTTCGATGAGCTGGATGCATACGAAGTGGTGGACAGAGCGGACGTACCAAAAGGAACAACGGTGCTGACGGAAGGAGTCGTTTTACGGGTGAAACGAGATGAGCACGGACAGCCAAACCGGTTCAAAGCGCGCTGGGTGGTCAAGGGATGCGGACAGACTTGGGGGACATACGATGGGACGTATGCACCGGTCAATCAAGGACCTACCTCTCGCGTGTTCGTTGCTGGTGCATCTGCTACAAAGCGGAAAGTGGTGCATCTGGACATCTCCAATGCATTCCTGTACGCTCTGATCGACCGGGACATATACGTGAGACCACCAAAACCAAGGCGGGACGGAGACAAAGTCTGGAAACTCAAAAGAAGTGTATATGGGCTGAAACAAGCACCACGCTTGTGGCATCAGCACTTACGGGGTGTCTTATTGGAGCTGGACATGGTGCAATCCGAATCAGACCCATCTCTGTTTATCTGGAAAAGAGACGGAAAGGACACGGTGTGGCTACTCACCTACGTTGACGACATCCTCATCCAGTCTCATGACGCAGAAGGCATTGAAGTTGTGATTCACCACTTGAAGCGGAACTTTACCTTGACGGTCAGCAAGACCATGACGCAGTTTTTGGGACTCAACGTCGCCGCGAACAAGGACTCGATCTCACTCGGACTCACAAAGTACATCTCACAGGCTTTGGCACCTTCGGGATGGAGGGCAACCGTTCCGGAGTTCGAACACCGATCACCAAGAAACCTGGACCACAAAAAGAACCACCAGACGACACTGATGGTCAACTGGTGCTGAAACAAGTTGGAACATTGCTGTACATCTCAACAGCAGGGAGGCCGGACATAACCTATGCAGCTCATGTGCTGGCCAGCCAAGCAAGCAAACCAACGGCAACAACAGTGCTTGGAATCTACAGGGTGTTCAACTACTTAGAGAACACTGTAGTCATGAGGCTGGTTTATGGAGGAGGGGACTTGGTGCTCCGCGGATACACGGACTCGGATTACGCGAACGAAGTAGGGCGTCACTCCGTTGGAGGCTACGTGTTTACCTTGGGAGGAGCTGCTGTCAATTGGAGGACTAAACGTCAGACAGTCATTGCAACATCAACTGCTGAAGCAGAATACATTGCGCTGTTTGAAGGAGCACGGGAAGCTACATACCTTCGCCGCTTGTGTGAAGACCTCGGTTTTCGACAGCAAGAACCTACCGTCATCTTCGTGGATAACCAAAGCGCAATTGCACTTGCCACCGGGGAGCAAATGAGTCAACGCATCAAACACATGGACGTACGTTACCATTGGACGAGGATGGCCATTCGTGATGGAGTTGTGCGACCGGAGTACGGCCCAACAGCTCAGCAAGCTGCGGATTATCTCACCAAGCCCCTCACAGCAAAACAACATCTCACCTGCAGCCTCTTGTGCGGTCTCCAACCAATTCCCCATGGCGCGCCGTCTGCACCCAGTACTCACATTGAAGCTGCTGGAGCTGCACTCTCACGTCTGGGCTTCTCAAGAAGTGCTGGACACCAAAGCATCCTGTAACTCCACACATCTCACTCGTGTGTTTGGTGATGTGTGCGTACTCACGCATGTGCATGCCTACCAACACACGAGTGCGAGGGGGAGTAGGGTGTGGAGTATCTTGGGGTGCAACAGGATTTCATCTCACAACCATCTTTTCATTTTCATCATCACAAGGGTCAGCACAAAATCATGAGAAGACCTACTGCAATCAGTAACAAGAACAGCCATCAGATATTCTGCTGGACAGTCGTTGCTGCTGGTTGGTCAGAACCACTCGCCAACTGCAGCGGCCGTTCCTCAAGACTTCACATGCCTGCTGGTTTCAGGGGGAGAAGAATCAAGACAGCATGAGTCAAGAACATTGTCCAAGACAAACGGCAAACAGGCAAAGGGAATCACAAGAGGACAAAGGCTTACTAAATACAAGGGAAGACAGCTGGAGTCAGGCGCTGATGGGAGTACTCACCTAGGTGACACAGGTGCTGCTGATATCGCTGCCACCCAGTGCTGGAGCTGCACCAGTGCAAGCGGCCAGCGCATCAGGGAGAGCTGCTGCAGGCCCGGTGCTGCAGGGCTTCCGGTGCTGCAGGGCGTAAGGGGGAGCAGCTGCAGGAGACTAGGTGTTGCTGCTGCCATCATTCAGGTGGTGCTACCGGCAGACTTTTGCTGCAGCAGCCGCCAGGTGCAGAAGCAGCCGCCAGGAGCAGAAGCAGCCGCCAGGAGCAAGAGCAGCCGCCAGGAGCAGAAGCAGCCGCCAGGTACAGGAGCAGCCGCCAGGTACAGGAGCAGCCGCCAAGTGCAGGAGCAGCCGCCAGGTGCTTGTGTACCAGTTGCAGCTGCTCCCGTACGCCACCTGGTATAGAGGGAGTAGCACAAGGCAACATGGAGCAGCAAAAGGTCAAGGGGAGCAGCACAAGGTAACATCACAGGGTGACAAGGTAACATGGGTGAAGCAGTCTGGTTTGACTAAGCTCCTCACCTCGGCAGGAAGGAGAAAGCCGGACGCCAGGAGTTACTGCGGTGTGTGGCGGGTACGCAGCTGCCGTGCGCCACATGTGCGGCCGTGCGCCACAGGTGCTGCCGTGCGCCACAGGTGCTGCCGTGCGCCACAGGTGCTGCCGTGCGCCACAGGTGCTGCCGTGCGCCACAGGTGCTGCCGTGCGCCGCAGGTGCTGCCGTGCGCCACAGGTGCTGCCGTGCGCCGCAGGTGCTGCCGTGCGCCACAGGTGCTGCAGCTCGCCACAGGTGCAGCCGTCGCTGCGGTCGTGGGCGTTAGCAGAAGAGGCAGCCGCGCGACGAGGGCAGCGCGCTGCAGGAGCGCCATGTCGTCCGAAATGGCAAGGGGAGGGCGCGAACCAGCAGACGTGCGCCAACCGCTGCTGCCGACCGTCACAGGCGTCGATGTCGCAGAGCGCCATGAACAGCAGTCACGCGCAAGGAGCTGCAGCGCGCAGGTCGTCAAGCGAGGAGGTTACTGCAGCCGCGCGACAGAGGAAGGAGTAACGCGACATCAGCAGCAGTCGCGGATCTGGCCGCAGCCGCAGAAAATGCGCATTCGGCGCTGCAGGTCGTCACGTGCGCTGCTGTGCACGAGCGCCAACCGTGACATGGCGAGCGCTAGTGACGACCTGCAGCTAGCTACAGCTGCAGGACATCGCGCTTAAGGACGGGGCAGGAGCTGCTGAATGACGATCTGCAATTGCAGGTCGACAAAACGGAAGTTGCGCCATGAAAAACCTAATACGTTCATAGCTGCAGCAGCAGCCATGGCTACGATGGGAGGAGTTGACACGGCTGGGAAGGCGGATCGGACAGGAAGTAACAACTCACGAGCAGGAGGAAGGAGCAGCAACACTCGATCGGAAGGAGGTTTGGAGAGCGAAAATGACGCACTTGGGAGAGACCCCGTTGAGAGGGATGCGCGGAACTGAAGCAGGAGCAGCAGCGTTTGGTGTGAGGGATCGTTCGAAGGGACCACCTGCGCGTCGGAACGTGCAGTACAGCAATCGCCAGTTGCACGGAAATTCCAACACGACAAACCACCCCACTGTCCGCCGCGATCCCAACGGAACTATTTGACTACGTTTGGTTCGCCGTGATCAACGCTGCCATCACCCAAGGTGACTCCGAAATCAACGCCGTGACCCACATTCACTCCGCAATCAACGGCGTTTACAGAAATCCCTCCAAAACCAGCTTCGGTAAAATCTACAGCAAGGGGGAGTGTTGAGAAATATAACATATAACGAAACATTTATGCTGCTAGATTTTACTGTAGTCCTCCTTATAAGACTTCAGGGCCTACAATAATTGTACAATTATTGTAGGGCTAGAATTATTGGAGTCTAGAGGTCTGGGGGTAGAATTATTGGTATTCCTGTATTGGAGTCACCATTATTGGTGGCACAATTATTGGTGTGGATGGATGGGTATGGGCAGGGTAGCTGACAGCATAAATTCTCTGCTGTGTGGTTTCATAATCAATCAATCCCATTATTCTCATTCTGCTTTCAACCATTCAGTGCAAGTCTTCCGGCCTTGCTCTTTCTACAATCTAGCTTCCGCAACGTCGGCATCATGCCTTTCTAGCATATATCAAGTGCCTTGTGTCGTTTGGGGCAATGCCATGTGAATATGCTGGCGATATAATGGAGTCGTTTTGGGCAGGCAGTGTCACGTGGGGTGCTTGGCATTGTATGGTTCTGCATGTACAATGTCAACGGTTGACTGGGGTGGGGGGGAGGGGAGGTGAAGTGTCGAGGCAATGTCACAAGCACATGGGAAAAAAATCACAGTAATGAGTTGGGAAAACACAGAATCAAGTTGCGAAGACAGAAAGGTGTGACGTTTTGGGAATTTCTGGAATGAACCTCAAGTCTATTGAGGTCCAGCACCACCTTGTTAGTCAGGTTGGGTGTGGAAAGCATGTGGTATATCGTAACATGGAAAACGCAATCCAATTTTGTATAACAAACATGTTGCTATGAACGTGAAGTTCCAGCAACACTACACTCCTCGGAGCACTATCCCGAATGGGGCGTCTCGAGGATTCAAAGGCCATACAGAGTTTCGCGCCAAAAACTAGTCAGTCTTTCTGTTCTAGCTGAATGCCTCTGGCGTGCGGGTAACGCTTGTTTACTCCAATCCCCCTGACTCACGTAGAACGGAAACACCCTTTCCCCCTCTCCCCGCTCCCCGAGGACTCCCTCCCAACCAAGCCGCCTGCGAGTCTGTTTCTGTCCCCTCGAGAAACGAGCGCCACGACACGACAGCAGCATGCAGCACACACTGTAAAGAGCACGTGTCTCGGAGCAGAAACGCGAAGCACTCTCGCGGAAAAATTGACTCGATCATAAAAGCTTGGGGCCTTCTTGGGAATGGAGTGACTCGCAACATTTCCTTGTCCCGTGGCTGTTCCCTGTAGAGTCGTCGGCGTTCAGCGCGCAGCTAGTCGCGCCGTAGTCAGCAGCACCTTGAGCTTTTCAGAATCCAGCGACGGTCAGTTTACCTAGACAATACATTTTTAGCACGAAAACGTTTTTCTATTTCCTTTTTTCGTGCTCGGATCGAGAATCGTCGGCACTGCTAGTTCTCCTTATCGTCTCGAGCATGTTGTTTCACGGTAGCCGTCGGATTTCAACTCTATTGCCCAGACATTGCCAGTTGTGTACAGGATAAGACCCGCACAGAAGTCCGCAGAGCTCTAGGGCCAGCGCAGCGACTCGAAGCGAGCGAATTCCCTTGATAACGTTTTTTTTTTTGTCTTGCTGCCCCAAAACGTCCTGATCCTTACTCACGGTAGGGGAATAGAGGTTGCTGGAAGGGATTCCTTTTCCACCTATGCCTTCTGCTGTTACTCCCAGCAGCTAGTTGATCCTTGGGTTTTCCCTCGGTTCGTGTATCCTGTGGCAAACCGCGTCTCCATAGTTGCCAAAAACCTCGCGACTCGAGTTTTTCAAGCTCGTTACGTGATATCACCATCCTAGACTGTCGGACGGGCACTTGGAAAGTGTTAGCGGTTTGAATGTTCAGTGAAGCCTCACGCGAGCATCGCGATCGCTTCTGTGAAACGCTGCGGCGGAAAATATCGCTCAAGCATTAAGTCAGGATGTACATCAAGCAGGCGAGTGGAGCTAACCGTTATCTGTTTTTCTTTGTTTCTCTAATAGCTTTTCTTTTCATTTCGTAGTTGTAATTTATCGCACCCTGTATGCATCGTCTTGCATAGAGCACATCAACGTTTTCGATTGGGTAACACGACAGGGTTGCGTCCGACATGGCCGACCCGACGCTTCATGGTTCAACCTTCGAAGACCTTACTTGTTGAGAATTGATGTCCATAATACTCGCCTTTTCAACCCGTGACGGTTCTGTTCCTTCTTTGTGTTTTCCTCCAATCCGATCTCGTTGCCCGTGTGACGGTTGCTGCTTGCTGCTCCTTATGGCACTCCCACGGTCGCGATCCACCAGGTTATCATCGAGGGTTTCAAGAGCTACAGGGAGCAGGTCGCCACGGAGGAGTTTTCACCCAAGATCAACTGCGTTGGTGCGTCGTCACTGTCAAAACACCTCACTCACCCTGCCTTGCTTTGCAATAAAGCAGAACAGACTATTTTCCACGCCAGCTATAGATTTCTGGTGCTTTTGAGTCCTGTTATTTTAGATAATAACCGCTTCTTGCTTGATCTTGTTCATTGACGCTTGCACAAGGCCACCCATGCATGGATCTATCATCCCTATCCACAAATTCGCTTAAAATTGTTATTGTCAAATATTTCCATTTCATCTGCTCCTCCTTGTCTGCTCTATTTCTGCCCTGCAGTTGGTGCTAATGGATCGGGCAAGACAAATTTCTTTCATGGTACATACTTCCTTCGTTTGCATGTTTTCCAAGTCTTCCCATCCAGATATCTTTATCTGTGTCATAGCTCTTTCCTGGCCGTTTCTGTTATGGCCGAGCCGCAATAGTTGGCTCAAATGTAGAATCCGCTGCTCGTTTCTGGCCTTCTAGAGTCGTTTTCCCATAGCCTGTTGCTGGCTTAGACGTTGAGGGTGTGTACGCCTCCTAATTTCAAGTATTTCCAAAAGAACCAGCTGTTCCTTTCTTACTACATGGGAGACCTGAATGGACTCCTTATTCTTGTATGTCCTGCTTTCATTGGTCTGATTGCAGCCATTCGCTTTGTGCTGAGCGACCTGTTCCAGTCTCTGCGGGGTGAAGACCGTCAGGCTTTGCTGCATGTGAGAGACGGTCCTGCTTGTGCCTCTGTGCTTCATGATTTTCCTAGTATCTGCTGCTGCTGCTGCTTTTGCAACGTTTCTTTTGCTTGCCTGCTACTTGTATGCTTCCCCAGAGGTTTGGTTCTTTTGGTTTGCAGCAAACCCGCTGGAGCAGTGTCTCTCTCTCACGTCTGCTCTTCTGTGCGTCATCCTTTTCTTGAACGCGTCAGTCATTGACGAAGTATACAAATGTGTGCGGAAACGTTGCATTCTCTCTCTCACGCTCTCCCTTTTTTTCTACCTCTCTTTGTTTCGTTTTCGCAGGAGGGTGCGGGGCAGCAGGTGCTGTCAGCGTTTGTGGAGATTGTGTTTGACAACTCGGACAACCGTCTACCGGTGAGTATCTCAGGGAATTCCACTCTGGTTTTGGCAGGAGGGCGCAAGCCAGCACAGACGCGGTGCCGCAGAAGGAACCCAGCTGTGCAGACTCTGGGATTGTGTCGCCACAGGACTTGCAGCACCGACGGTGGTCTTAGGGAACTTTGTGTGCCTGCCTCACGCCCACCAGTGTTCAGTGGAGCTTTAATCATTGCTGCTGGTTGTTGCTGATTCTTTGTTTTCATGTGTGTGCGTGTGGGTGTGTGCGTGTGCGTGCGTGCGTGCGTGCGTGCGTGCGTGTGTGTGTGTGTGTGTGTGTGTGTGTTTGACTCCTCGCGTGTGTATATACCCATCTGTATCACAGGTGGACAGGGACGAGGTTCGGCTGCGGCGAGCCATCAGCGGTCGCAAGGATGAATACTGGCTCGATCGCAAGCACATCACGTATGCCCCTGCCTCTGCCACCACCACTTCCTTTACCTCCTCCCCCTCCTTCCATTCTTCCCCACCCGTTTCCCGCTCTTCCCCCACCACACACGCAACTGTCCATTTCCGCTCTCAATCCACGCCCCTCCCTTTCTTGCACCTTTCTCTCCCACTTGCAGTCGTCCTAATCGTCCTTCTATGATGGATGGTTCTGCCGTTGCCCCAGTCTCTTTGCCAGCTCTTCTGTCACTCCTCTCCATCCCTCGTGTCGCTCACTGAGCTTTCACTGGTACTCTGGCTTTGTTGTCCCTCCTCTTTCTGTGCTCCCTTCACTGTCCTTCCCCTGTGTTTCCCTTGTGGTGCTTCATGTATGTGTACTGCAGGAAGCAAGAGGTTCTCAACCTTCTGGAGAGCGCTGGCTTTTCACGCTCCAACCCATACTATGTGGTGCAACAGGGAAAGGTATGTACGCTTTCTTCTTACCTCATTGCTCAATCTTACCTTATTGCTCAACCTTACCTAATTGTTCTCTATCTCCTCTCATTAGATTGTGAACTCTTCGCATGCACCTGTTTCGGGTTGGGCTCTGCTTTTCCACACTTCTGCTTTCGTACCTGCAAGAGCGAGGGGAGTTGGGAGGGGAAGAGGGAGGGTTAGAGGGAGGGGCTGAGGGAGGGGAAGAGTGAGCTGCAGAGGGAGGGTAAGGGAGGGGCTGAGGGAGGGGTGGATTTGCAATATCACTGTTAGCCATGTCTTTTCACACACAAACCCACCACACTCCACTTCTTGCTCCCGCTTCCTCGCCCATCCTCTTGGTCGTCCCTTCCTCTCTCGCTCCCATGTGCCACCACCAGATCGCGTCCCTGTCTCTGATGAAGGATGCAGAGCGGCTGAACCTGCTCAAGGGGATAGGAGGCGCAACTATTTAGTCAACTTGAAAGTCCCTCCCTGTTGTCGCCCCTCCTCTCTGTCCGCCCCTTCCCCCCTCGCTCCCATGTGCCACCACCAGATCGCGTCGCTGTCACTGATGAAGGATGCAGAGCGGCTGAACCTGCTCAAGGAGATTGGAGGCGCGCGCGTGTACGAGGAGCGGCGCAAGGAGAGCCTCAAGATCATGCAGGAAGCAGGTGAGGGGCGGGGCTGCTGTGGTGGGGTGCTGGATGAGGGGTTGTGAGGCGCCTTAGAAATCTTAGTGCGGAAGGTTTGTAACTTGTAAGGCTCACTTGTAAGACTCCTTACGGTGGGAGATAGGAGGCGCGCGCGTGTACGAGGAGCGGCGTAAGGAGAGCCTCAAGATCATGCAGGAAGCAGGTGAGCGGCGGGATGGTCTCTCTTGTTCGTCTTCTCTCCCATCGCTCCCTTCATTTCTTCCCCCCCCCTCGTTTCCCCCTTTTTTTTTCTGGTCTTCCTTCTCTCATGTTTTCTACATTTTCTTCTCTCTTTCTTGAACCTCCTTTCGAATTCGTACTCTCTCCTGCAGAGGTGCGTCGGCAGCAGATTGCAGACTTCCTCGCACACATTGAAGCCCGTCTGAAGGAGCTGGACGAAGAGAAAGAAGAGCTCAAACGCTTCCAGCTACTGGACAAGTTTTGAAACTCTCTCTATCTCTCCCTACTCTCCCTTCTTCCCCTCCTCGTCCCTCCCTTCTCTCCCTTCGCTTCCACCTCTCCAACTCTCGCTCCCAATTCTCCCTCCAGAGGTGCGTCGGCAGCAGATTGCGGACTTCCTTGCGCACATTGAAGCCCGTCTCAAGGAGCCGGACGAAGAAAAGGAGGAGCTCAAACGCCTCCAGCCAGTTTTAAGTTAACTTGAACTCATCTCTTCCTCTGTCTTCCCGCCCCTCTCTCCCTTCTCTTCCCTTCTCTCCCTTCCCTTCCTTTCCTCCCTTCCTTCTGTTCTCTTCTCTTCTCTCCCTGTCCTCCCATTTGTCCCTCCCTTCTCCCTTTCCTCTTCCATCTCTCCCTTTCCTCCTTCCAGAGGTGCGTCGGCAGCAGATTGCCGACTTCCTTGCGCACATCGAAGCCCGTCTCAAGGAGCTGGACGAAGAAAAAGAAGAGCTCAAACGCTTCCAGCTACTGGACAAGCAACGCCGCTCGCTCGAATACGCCATCTTCGAAAAAGAGCTCGCAGAGGCTCGCGACCAGCTGGAAAACGTGGAGTCGCGGCGGCAGCAGGTGCAGGAGCGCACGAGCGGGACCCACCAGAAGGCGCGGGAGCGGCAGGAGGAGGTGAAAGAGGTGGAGCGGCAGCTGAAGGCGAAGAATAGGGAGCTGCAGGGTCTGGTGCAGGAGCAGGAGCGCGTGGAGGAGCAGAGGAACGAGGGAATGCGCGCGTGCACGAGACTGAGGCTCGATGTGAAGGAGCTGGAGCAGGCGCTAGAGGCGGACCAAGGGCGCAAGGTGGGTGGGTATGGGCCAGGGACGAGGTAGTAGGTAAGGTAAGGTCCCCTCGCCTACGCCTATCATCCCCCAAGGTTCCTTGCTCCTTCTCTCCGCCTTGTGAAGGAGCTCGAGGAGGCACTTGATACAGGCCAGGGGCGCAAGGTGGGTGGGTATGGGCCAGGGAAAAGGTATGGTACAATGCCTTTTGAGGCTGATTGAAAATGTTTCCCCAACTGTTTTCCCTTCCCCCGTCCCCTTTCCCCATCCCCTTCCCCCCCCCCCCCCCAACCTCTTCCCATTCCTAGGTTCTTTCCCTCCCTTTTCAGGCCTTGTTCCTCGTTTTTTGCTCTTTGATTCCACCGGATTTTCTTCTTGATTCTTTGATATCCCGATTTTTGGAACCCAACCCTTGCCCAATTTGCCCAGTCGCTGTTGATTTTCGTTAATTAAAAATCGTTGTGCTGGTTGCGATCATGTTCTAGTTGAAGTTGACGCACCTTCTAACGCGAACCTTTTGTTTTCCTTGCCCTACCTCGCATCTCCCCTCGTCGCGTCTCCGCTCCTCACATCTCCCCTCGTCGCATCTTCCCTCCTCACATCTCCACTCCACACAGCAAGAGCTGGAGGCGGAGCTACAGCAGCTGCAGAGGGACATCGCCAAGTCAAACGCTGACTTGGAGGCGATTCATCCGCAGCACCAGCAGCACGTGGCAGAGGAGAATGCGCTGAACAAGAGGTGGGATTTGTGTGGAGAGCGATGAAAAGAAAGAACAAAGAGAAACGCAGCACTGGGATTATATGGCTGAGAGTGCTTTGAACAAAAGGGGCGCGGGAGTAGTGTGGTGGCTTGGGGCATGGTAGGTAGGTATGTGTCAGGTGACTGGTGACTGTGAGAATCAATTGCTGGTGGATATTCAGCTAATGTTTCTTCCTTGCTTGCAGGCTGGCAGAGTGTTCACGCCGACTGGACGCACTGTATGAAAGGAAGGGGCAGAAGGCGCAGTTCAAGAGCAAGGACGAGCGCGACCGGTGGCTCAGGCGTGGTATTGCAGAGCTGGAGCAGCTGGTGCAGCGCAGTGCTGCACAGGTGGGTGGGTGGATGGGTGGGAGGGAGGGAGGGAGGAGGAGGAAAGGGAAGTTCGTAGCAGATGTGGCTTGCAAAGTGCAGTATTGCTTGATGCGTTTACAGCAAGAAGAGCTGGAGTAGCTGGTGCAGCTAGTGCAGTTGGTGTAGCTGACTGTGTTGTGTAGCGTGTACCATGTGACATGATTTCCTTCTATTGATGGTCCCGCCACACGGTTGCACTCCCATGCTGTCCTAATTCAACAGCCAACCCTATCATTCCCTTATCTCACTGCTGCGCCCTTCTGTCCTATGCTGTGAGCCGCCTTGCAGTTGAGGGGTCTGGAGGCGGAGAGTGAGAGGCTGAGGCAGGCGGGGCAGCAGCTACAGGAGGAGATGGAGCAGAAGGGGCAGCAGGTGGGGGAGGCAGAGGCGGAGGTAGCACGATGCGCAGAGGAGATGCGAGGGGCCAAGGCTCGGAGGGACGAGCAAAACAGCCGCCGCAAGTAGGTGTTCTGTCTCTAGGCTAAGACAACCTTGAGGCATGGGTCAACCTTTGACGCGAATAGGAGTGGGCTTTAACTTCGTGGTGAATGTTTTTGAGAGCGTTGTCTCCTCCCTTGCAATGCAACATTTGAGGCGCCTCAAAAGAGCGTTGTCTCCTCCCTTGCAATGCAACATTTTCTTCACCCACCCACCCTCTCCCTCCGAATCTGCCGTTGGTTTTTTTTTGTCCTCCTCCTTGTCTAACCCCATTCACGCTCCGTGTTCTCCTGTTTTTCTTTGCTTGTTTTACCCCAAACGAAATGCACCTATTTCCTGCCTGCTCTCTGTATTCTCCCGCTCTTCTCTCGGTCTGCCCTTTCCCTATCCTCTGATGGAGCAGGAAGCGGACCTGGCAGCAGGGGTGACACGAGCGAGCGACAATAGATACAACCTTTTCCCATTCTGCTCTCTGTTTGCTCACTGTCTGCACTCACCTCACCCTGCCTGCCCTTCCCCCTTCTCCAGGCAGCTGATGAAGCAGGAGGTGGCGGATCTGGCAGCAGAGGTGAAGCGAGTGAGCAACATTAAACGCACCGCCTCTTTGCCTGCTCTCTGTCTGCTCTCTCCCTGCTTGCACTCCTCCCTCTCCAGGCAGTTGATGAAGCAGGAGGCGGATCTGGCATCAGAGGTGAAGCGAGTGAGCGAGGAGAAGGACCGAGCAGAGGGACAGCTGGACAAGTCCACGCCCAGGGTACGCTGTGGTACAGTGTGGTGCAGTGGGGTGCAGTGCGTGTGATATGTGTGGTGCAAGGTGATGGGCATAGCGTTGTTGCAGGTCATTTGTTGCTTTATATACGAACCCCCTACCCTGCCATCTCGCCCACTCCCATTGAGTATAACGCTGTACTGCTGTGTGTTGGGTTGGGTTGTCTCACAGAGTGTATGTCTCGCTGCTGCTCTGAGTCCTTGCTACCTATCCAGCTTTGTGACTTTCTCGCCTGCTGTCCCACTCTCTCATTCGTCCTCCCACCTCTCACTTGCCCGCCGCTTTCCCCAAACTTTGAGGCACTTGTTATGGTCTTTTTCCCTCCCCATCCCCATCCCCTTCCCCATGAGGGACCATTCAATCAGGGGTGCTGGAGCTTGTAGCCTGCGACGACAAGTTCGTCACTGCGGTTGAAGTCACTGCAGGAAACGGTCTCTTCAACTCACTCTCCCCTCCTCCCCTGTGCTCCCTTCCTCTCCTCTCCCCCTGCCCCGCATTCTGCTTCTTCCCCTCCTCCCCGTCCCCGCCCCCTTGCCCCTTCCCCGCCCCCATCCCCGTCCCGTTCCCCGCATCTGCCCCCCTTCACCCCTCAGGACATCCGCCGCGGGCTCTTCTCGCTGCGCCAGATAGTGCGGGACCATTCCATCAGGGGGGTGCACGGGCCGCTGCTCGAGCTCGTAGCCTGCGACGACAAGTTCGTCACTGCGGTCGAAGTCACCGCAGGCAACGGCCTGTTCAATGTTGTGGTGGATAATGATGAGACTGCCGCCCGGCTCGTGCGGTACTTGAACCAGCAGAGGGGCGGGCGGATCACGTTTATTCCGCTGAACCAGGCGCGTGCGCCGACAGTGGCGTATCCGGAGAGGCAGGACGTGGTGCCACTGCTGTCCAAGGTCAAGTACGAGCCGCAGATTGCTGCTGCTTGCGGGCAGGTAAGCGATGGGGGTGGGGGGAGGGCGAGGGAGAAGGGAACAGAAGAAAGGCAGGGAGGTCAAGGGGGAAGGGTAGGGAAGGGAGGGAGGGGGGGGATGGGAGGGAGGAGGTGGGTGGGTAACAGGCGGACGGATCACATTCCGCTGAACCAGGCGCGTGCACCGACGGTGGCGTATCCGGAGCGGCAGGACGTGGTGCCACTGCTGTCCAAGGTCAAGTACGAGCCGCAGATTGCTGCTGCTTGCGGGCAGGTAAGCGATGGGGGGAACGGAGACCAAAGGGAGGTTGGGAGGGGAGGGGGGTGGGAAGAAGAAAGGAAGGAGTTGGGTGGGGAAGGGGTGGGTGGGTGATGTTTTGTGTTCTTGAGAAACCGGGGAGATGTCTGGTGTTTCTGATACTTTTTGCGTGCATTGTATGTGTATGTGCGTGTATGCCTGTGTGCATGTATGCGTACAGGTGTTTGGCCGCGCTGTTGTCTGCCGCGACCTATCAGTGGCAGCTGACGTGGCGCGCACTGGAAGCTTTGACTGCATCACGCTGGAGGGTGAGTCGAGTCCCCTGTCTGCTCCTTCCCTCTCTGCCAATGCACCGCAAGCGTAACCGATTTTTTTATTGCTCTTTAGTCATCATCACCCACTCACTGGAGGAGGACAAAGGGGGAGGGGGAGCGCTAAGGCGCAGTGACAGCCGGGCATTACGGCCTTCAAACCCGTTCTTTAAAACCTTTTCTCAACCCTGCTATGTTCATCACGTCTCACTCACCCACCCACAGGGTCGCAGGTGGAGCGCAAGGGTGCCATGACAGGGGGGCACTACGACCCGCGGCGGTCGCGGCTGCGGCTGATGCAGACAGTGAGGGAGAGCAACCAGCGCGTGAGGGAGCTGCAGCAGGAGCTGCGGCAAGTCAAGGCCGCCATGCAAGATATCCTCTCAATGGCTTCCAAAGCCCAAAACTTTAAATCTCAAAGCCCGACTTGCCCTCCTGGGCTGTGGGCTTATTCGAGTCCGCCCGTTCCCGTTTCCCGGTCTTCCTTCCCCCTCATCTGCCTAACGTTTTCGTTCATGTGTTTTTCTCTGTTTGTTTTCTTTTCGTTTCTCTTCCTTTTTAAGGTGGCTCGTTCTGCCGTTCCTTGGCTTGCTTGCTTGCTTGATTGTCTGTTCTTGATCTGTTGTTCTTGATCCAAGTATTCCTTGACCTGCAGGGCCTCCTATTCTCTTCCCCCGCCCTCCCTCTTCTCTTTCATGCTCTTTTTATCTCCCCCTCTTCTCCCGCCTTCTCCTCTCTTTCACTCCCTCCCTCCCTTCCCCACCCTCACTCCGCGCCCCCTCCTCTTCCCTCCCCCTTCCCTCTCTCTCCCCTCCCCCCTTCCCTCTCTCCCCTCCCCCCTTCCCTCTCTCCCATCCCCCCTTCCCTCTCTCCCTCCCCCCTTCCCCATCACTCTATCCCAACCGCACCGCTCTAAACCCTCTCAAAACCCGTCTAAAACCTTTCTGATCAACACAAGCGGACCAGGCAGTGGCAGTGGCGCTGGGGGATCTGGAGCGGTTGGAGGCGAAGCAGAGGCACTTGGCGTCGCTGCTGGAGCAGACGCGTGCCGACATGCGAGGGCTCAAGGGGCAACTCGCTGCCAACCAGGCCGCGTGCGAGCAGAAGGTGTGTGGGTGTACTGGGTGAGGGGGGGTCGGTGTGGGGAGGGGAGACTGCCAAAGCAAAAACAACTTCCCCTTTCCCCGCTTCCCCACTTCCGCCTCCCCCTTTTCCCCCGTTCCCGATTTTCCCCCTTCGTCCTTCCCCAGTCCCCCTTCCCCTTTTCCTCGTCTCCCCCGTTCCCCCATTCCCGCTTCTCCGGTTTTCCCCCTTCCCCTTGTCCCCCCTCCCCCGTTTCCCCTATTTTCCATTCGATCTCCTCCTACACCACACCACCAATGCCACTACGTTACCACCCCCACCACCCCACCACTGTTCCACCCACAGGAGGAGGCGGTGGGGAAGCTGAGGGCGAGTGTGGAGGAGCAGCAGGCAGCGGTGCCAAAACACGCTCACTTATGCCCTCTCCCCCATTACACCACCACCCCCACCACCCCACCACTGTTCCACCCACAGGAGGAGGCGGTGGGGAAGCTGAGGGCGAGTGTGGAGGAGCAGCAGGCAGCGGTGCCAAAACACGCTCACTTATGCTCTCTCCCCCATTACACCACCACCCCCACCACCCCACTACCTTCGCACAGGAGGAGGCGGTGGGGAAGCTGAGGGCGAGTGTGGAGGAGCAGCAGGCAGCGGCGGAGGCGAAGCGGGGGGAAATTGGCACGGCGCTTGTGGCTGGGCTGAGTGCGGGCGAGCAGGCAGAGGTGGAGGCGCTGGTGCCGGAGATTGACAGTGTCAAACAGCAGCTGCTGGCGTGCAAGCGCACCCGCCTGGAGGTGAGGGGAAGGTTGTTCAAAATCGGGGTTTCGAGTTTTGGGGATTAGTGGGACAGGGATATTGAGGGGGGGAGCAAGCGGGGAAAACGAGGCGGGTATGATTAGTTGGGGGTTGGAGTAAGGTGGAAGGTCTGGTAGTGGAGCGTGAGAGGCTGAGCAAAGGGCTGAGGGCGGGCGAGCAGGCAGGCAGAGGTGGAGGCGCTGGTGCCGGAGATTGACAGTGTCAAACAGCAGCTGCTGGCGTGCAAGCGCACCCGCCTGTAGTTGAGAAGAAGGTGGGCGAGGGAGGGGTGGGAAGGGATTCACAGGATGAGGTGCAGGCCGAGGTGGCCTTTTCACTCCTGTTGCAGTTGGAGGTGGACTTTGGATGTGGCGTCCCGGCGCAGCGAGCTGGAGGGATAGGCTTTAGTCAGCTCTCCTCAACTCATCCATCGCCCCTTGTCCCCCGTTCTAAACCTCCTCGTCTCCGCTCTACTTTTCCCCTCCTCACGCCACACCTCGCCTCCTTTGCCCACAGGTAGATAGCCGTATGAGTCAGCTGGAAAAAGCACTGACGGAGAATCTGCTGCGAAGGCAGGACGAGGTGCAGGCAGAGGTGGACGTGGTGCATGTGGCGTCCCGCCGCAGCGAGCTGGAGGGATGGGCTCTAGTCATCCCTTCCTATTCAGCCCCTCAACCCCACAGCCTCCCCTCGCCCTCCCTTCGTCTCCGCTCTTCTCCCTTTCCCGTCCTCACGCCGACCCCTTTCAACATTTCCCACAGGTGGAGAGTCGCATGAGCCAGCTGGAGACAGCACTGACGGAGAATCTGCTGCGGCGGCAGGATGAGGTGCAGGCGGAGGTGGACGTGGTGCATGTGGCGTCCCGCCGCAGCGAGCTGGAGGGGCGCCGGGCAGAGGCGGCGGCTGCTGATAATGCGCTGCAGGAGCTGGTGCAGGAGCACAAGCGTGAGTCACTGCTGACTGTTGAGGTGTCTCAAAGGTCGAATTTGGACAGTGTTTGGAAAGTCAGAGTCGGCTGCTGCTGGGATGATGCGCTGCAGAAGCACAAGCATGAGTTTGTGGCTGAGTGTTAAGATCTCAAAAGTCCATGATTGAGCTGTATTTGAAAGTCGGAGGCGGCTGCTGCTGATGCAGCCCTGCAGGAGCTGGTGCAGGAGCACAAGCGTGAGTCGCTGGGCTGATTTCTTAGACGTCTTTTGAGGCAGCTTAGGGTGTTGTAAGCAGCAGCTGCTGATGCAGCCCTGCAGGAGCTGATGCAGGAGCACTGTCCAGGGTGAATCTGGCAGGTGTCTGGGTGCGGCCATGCGTTGGTGGTCAGTGCTGTGGGCTATGTGCGCCTTGTGTCCTGTGGTGCAGGGGAGAGCGGAGGTGCGAGAGTGCCTGGAGTCAAGTCGGTAGACTCATTTGTTCCAGTCTGTCAGCCCATCCTCTTCGTTTCCTGCCCCTGTCTCTATCTCTGCCTCTCCCCTCGTCCTGCTGGTACTACCAGGTGTGGGGAGCCGTATGGAGCAGCTGATGAAAGAGATCAGGGAGCTCAAAGCGAGCAAGGACAAGCTTAAGGTGAGAAAGAGGGTTTAGGAATCTGGGCTTAGGGGTTTATGCACTAGGACTTTCGGAAGTCAGTTTTTTGCTTTTTTCGAACCCTCACACTCCATGCCATTCCTGTCCACAGCTTTAGTGAAGCAGATCGTTTGACAGAGGGGTTTCGGGGTTAGAAGAGCTTCCAGCTGGCAATTTATAGCTTATTGTGACCACTTCGCAGCCCGTAATTCCGTGAACGTACCTTTCTTCCTTGTTCCCCATCCCCTGTTCCCGGTTCATGGTTTTGAATTTCCTTGCTGCTCCCCCTGCCTGCCCCACCTTCCTTCCTGCTCTCCCCGCTCCCTGCTGCTGTCACCACCGTCGTCCCTTTGCCTCTTCCTTCTGCTGTTTGCTGCTGCTCCTCCGGCAGCAACAAGAGGAGGAGTGGGAGCGGGCGGTGCAGGACGAGGGCAAGGCGTTGGAGCAGCTGTTGAACCAGCGCAGCGTGTGGCAGCACAAGAGGGACGAGGCCAGCAAGAAGATCCGGGACCTCGGCTCGCTCCCTGCTGATGCTTTTGACAAGTGAGTGACCATTGCTGCTGCTGCTGCACTTCTTATGGATTGTCTCTCTCACCACAGAAGCTTGAGGAATCGACTCAAGAGGAATATCAGGGACCTCGGCTCGCTCCCTGCTGATGCCTTTGACAAATGAGTGGCCGTTGCTTGCTGCTCTTGTACACATCGCATGAGCGAAGTATCTCTCTTTGCCTCACTACGACAGCTGTGGAGTCGGCTTAGAAAATTTCGTCTATGTCGTCTTGAATGAAGATCAGGGACCTCGGCTGGCTTCCTGCTGATGCCTTTGACAAGTGAGCGGTGGTTATAGCACCTGCTCTTGTGTTCCTTGGACGTAGAGGGCTCACTTCGTGCTTCATTATAACACTCGCACTGTCCGTTTCCCATCTACCCCCCCTCTCACCCCCTCCCCCGCTTCCCCACCACTGGTACCAGAAGCAGAGTATGCACGAGCTGCACCGGCTGCTGCACCAAATTGTAGTGGTGAACCTTCCCGCTTCACTCTCACATTCTCCCTATCGTTTCCCCGTTCCCCATCTCCCCCGCCCCACCACAGGTACCAAAAGCAGAGTATGCGCGAGCTGCACCGGCTGCTGCACCGGTGCAACGAGGAGGTGCAGGGATTTGGGCATGTGAACCGCAAGGCGCTGGACCAGTTGATGCACCTGTGCGGTCAAAACTCCCTTCCGTCTCACACTCAGCCCCCTCCCTCCTTCATACCTGTGTACCCCCGTTGTGTCCCCCTCTTGTTCCCCTGCCTCCTCCCCCTTGTCCCCCCCTTTGTCCCCCTCGTTTGCCCCCCCCTGTTGTTCCCCACCACAGGTACCAGAAGCAGAGTATGCGCGAGCTGCACCGGCTGCTGCACCGGTGCAACGAGGAGGTGCAGGGCTTTGGGCACGTGAATCGCAAGGCGCTGGACCAGTATGTGAACTTCACGGAGCAGCGCGAGGAGATGCACCGCCGGCAGCTGGAGCTGGATAGGAGCGATGAGGTGCGGTGGGTGGGGGAGAAGGGAACTGGGGAGGGGTATTGTGGGGTCAGAAGGGGGGCAGAGGGGCATAGGTGCAGCAAGAGAGGTTTATGGAGGGGAAACGGGATGCATGGGCGTGGTTGGAGGGTGGTTGACGGGCTCCAGGGGCTTGAGGGAGGGGGTAAGGGATGGGAAGAGGTTAGAGGGCTGCGAAAGCGCTTTGGGCACGTGAATCGCAAGGCGCTGGACCAGTATGTGAACTTCACGGAGCAGCGCGAGGAGATGCAGCGGCGTCAGCTGGAGCTGGATAGGAGCGATGAGGTGCGGTGGGTGGGGGAGAAGGGAACTGGGGAGGGGTATTGTGGGGGGGCAGAGGGGCATAGGTGCAGGGTGAGAGATTGTGGAGGAAGGATGAAGAGTGAATCGTGCAACCGAGGAATTGTAGGAAAGCATGGGAAGTTCTTCCTTGCTTGCTCCTTTTCGCACCTCGTGCATTCCTGTGGAGGCCTGCAGTTCCACCTCTCTCCACCTCTCTCCACCTCTCTCCACCTCTCCTGTCCCCCAATCCTCTGCTGCTCGCTTCCCATTGGCTCCCTTTCCTCACTTCCCTCCTCTCTCCTGCCCTGCTTCCCCGTTCCCCTCTCGTGGCTTCCCTTTTTCCCTCCCCGCGCCCTTCTCCCCACCTCTGCACCCCACCCTCCTCCCCCCCCCCCAAGCAGAAGATCAAGGAGCTGATAGGCGTGTTGGATCAGCCCAAGGACGAGGCCTTAGGGCGCACCTTCAGGCAATCTCACCCCTCTGCACCTCTCTGTACCTCGCTTTCCTCGCTTTCCTCCCTTTCACCTTTCCCCCCCCCCCCAAGCAGAAGATCAAGGAGCTGATAGGCGTGTTGGATCAGCGCAAGGACGAGGCCTTGGAGCGCACCTTCAAGCAGGTGGCGCGCAACTTCCGAGAGACCTTCGCCCAGCTCGTGCGCAGCGGGCACGGGTCGCTGGTGATGGTGCGCAAGCGCAAGGAGGACGAGGCGGTGGATGAAGATGAGGACGATGAGGAGGGCGGCGGGGGGGGCAGGGATGGAGATACGGACAGCCGGCTGGATAAATACGCCGGAGTGAGGGTCAAGGTGTGTGCACGCTCCTCCCTTATCGCCTCCTCCTGTCCCTCCTCTCCATCCCCTCCTCCCCTGCTCCTCTTCTCTTCTCTTGCTTTGAGTCGCGTTCGGTGAGCGGTGTTTGGGGAGTAGTCGAAAAGCGGTGCGGGCTGTTCGGGCAGCGGGCACGGGTCGCTGGTGATGGTGCGCAAGCGGAAGGAGGACGAGGCGGTGGATGAGGATGAGGACGATGAGGAGGGCGGCGGGGGGGGCAGGGATGGAGATACGGACAGCCGGCTGGATAAATACGCCGGAGTTCGTCTCGTCTTCCCCCCTCCCCTCTTTCCTGCCTTTCCCCCCTCCCTTTCCACGTCCTCTTTCCTCTTTTATTCGGTTCTGGAATAGTTGACCTCGATCTATGTGCTGGCATGAAGGTGAAAGGAAGTGAGGTTACCATTGGGATTTGTGTTCCCTAGGGGACAGTGATGTCGTGTTTTTAGTCGACCCATAACACGACTCATTAGGAGTTGTGTTCCCCAGTGGACAGTGATGTCTGAGTGCATGAATTCCTGGACCGACGTTTGCAAATGGAGATGTGTTTGTGTGTTCGAGGCGAATTCTGAAACCTGAAGCGTTTTATGCGTCAATGAACCAAGTTGCCACAGAATGAATTACATTCGCCTCCTCTCCCCCCCGCCCCCCCCCCCCTCTGTCTCCTCCTTCCCCTTTCCCCCCCATTCCTCCCCTCACCTCCAGTACCCCTCCTACTTTCCTGCAAACTCACAACCCACCCTTCACCTGTTCCTTCTCCAGGTGTCGATGAGGCAGCTGTCGGGAGGGCAGAAGACCGTGGTGGCCCTCGCACTCATCTTTGCTCCATTCTGTGCGCTCCCCTCTCACCCCGTCACTCTCCCTCGCACTCTCCCTCCCCGGTCCCTCCATGTTCTCCCCAGGTGTCGTTCACAGGGCAGGGGGAGACGCAGGCGATGAGGCAGCTGTCGGGAGGGCAGAAGACCGTGGTGGCCCTCGCACTCATCTTTGCCATCCAGCAGTGCGACCCCGCTCCGTTCTGTGCGTTCCTCTCTCACCCTCCCACTAGTCTCTCGCTTTCCGTTTCTAACTCTCACTCTCGCACCCTCTTTATCTTGATCAAAATCCCTTGATCTTCATCACCGGATCTGCACTGAATATTACTTTGCCCAACTGTCCTCTTTCCACTACCGCAGCTTATTGTCACCCTGCCTTCACGTTGCCCCGCCTTTTTTTGGCCTGCCTTGCAAATCTTCTCCGCTCCACACTACCTGTTGCGTGCTCTTCCAATTCGATTTAAAAAAAGCACACACACACACACGCCAGAACAACTTGCCATGCGCTTCAGCTCTGCCTTCCCTCCCCTCTCCTCTCCCCTTTCAAACCTCTCCCTGCCTGCAGATCTGTTTGACGAGATAGACGCAGCTCTGGACCCCCAGTACCGGGCTGCTGTGGGAAGTGAGTACCCCATGCGATGGCTTGGCTTGCCTACCTTCACCTGCGTTCCTGTGTCGTCTTAGCTCATGCTTGTCCACTTGCAGTTCGTGCACGGGATGTTTATTCTGTTCATGGGATGTTACTTGTCCCCGCCTCCCTTTATGCATCTCCCTTTTCCAATCACTACCACGCTGTACAGCATCCCACCCTTTCTCATAAACCCCTCGTTCTCACCCTTCTCCCCTCCTCCCTACCCCTGCCCCGCCTCCCTCCTCCCCCAGGCATGATCCGCAAGCAGGCGGACGAGTCGGGCACGCAGTTTGTGATCACCACGTTCATCTCATACACCCCCGCTCCTCACCTTCCTCCCCTTTCCCCCGTCCTGCATCCGCCCCCCCTCCCCCCCCCCCCCCCCAGGCATGATCCGCAAGCAAGCAGACGAGTCGGGCACGCAGTTTGTGATCACCACGTTCATCTCATACACCCCCGCTCCTCACCTTCCTCCCCTTCCCCCCGTCCTGCATCCGCCCCCCCTCCCCCCCCCCCCCCCAGGCATGATCCGCAAGCAAGCAGACGAGTCGGGCACGCAGTTTGTGATCACCACGTTCCGCCCGGAGCTGGTGAAGGTGGCAGACTGCGTGTACGGGGTGTTCCATAAGAACCGCGTGAGCACCGTGAAGGTCATCGACCAGCATGCTGCTCTTGCGTTCATTGAGCACGACCAAGGCGGGCCGACCGAATGAGGAGGGGTTGTTTTGGAGGGTGGAGGAGGGGGAAGGAATGGTGGGGGGGTATAATGGGGAAGTGTGGAAGAGGGACGGGGAGTGTGGAGGGGGGTTGATGTGCAGGGGTGGGATGGAGGGACAGAGTGGTATTGGTTTGGTGGAGAGGGGTAGGTGAGGAGTGGAAAGTGGTGGTGTAAATGTTAAGGAGATTGATGGAATGGGTAGAGTGAGATGGGGCGCAGGAGATGAGGCACAAGATGCAGCAATGTGACTGCAGCTTCGTCTAGCTAACACTGACTGTAACAGTTGCGGCTGTGACCAAGAATTCCAAGTGTGCTACTGATCTCCCAGGATCTCACTTTGTAAAGCAGTTAGATGCCCTTCTGGAGAGGTTTTATCCTTCTGTATAGCCCACACAGCATTTGATTCAATTTCTTTTCCTTAACTGTTTGTTTCTCTGCTATTAGACTCAAATACGGCACCATTACTATTCCACAATGCGGTAGTATACTTGATTTTTACACTCAACTGTTCTGTGTATATTGAATTTGTACCTGACCTCGAGGCCAGCCACATCGAGTTTGCCGCAACAAATGTTGTTTTGGCAGCTCTGCGACACCCCACAGCCTACGCAGTGATTCCCCTCCTGAAGTGGTGTGTCGCAGGGCTCATTTCCGAATTCTTTTACAGCTGTTTTCGCAGCGAAGCGACCACTTGGTCCCGAGCTAACTTGGCAGACATGCAGCAGACCCCGCTGCCCGCGTATATAGCTGTCACACCTTCCTTCACTGCGCGCTAAGGGCTGCCAGGGCTGCCACTTCTCGCGACCATTTAATTCCCCCGCGCGGCCCGTGCGTACGTGGCTCGCGTACACGGCAGCTGTCCACATTCGACGAATGTGACGTGACGTGACACCGAGGCAAAATACAGACGTGATTTGACACCGAGTGCGCCCAGCAGATTCGGATTACCAGCAGCGGTCATCCTCTCTCGTCTCAGTCTCAGAGGCTCCGTAGCAGAAAGAAAGCGCGACTTGTGAAGCGCCTCAAAAGGCTCAGTAGCAGGAAGAAAGTGCTCAAAGAAATTATTTGAACTTCTTCCCTTTTGTGCCCTTTCTTCTGCTCTTTCCGCAATCCGCGCCGCAACTCGCACGATGGACGCTGTAGTGTGTCGGCGCGTGGGGTCTCTCAAGCCGTCCGATCCGCTGTCGGAAAAGGTGGGTCCGGAACGGTGACTGGTAATGCGCGCGAGGTGCCACCTGTAGTGTGCCGGCTCGAGGGTCCATAAAGTGGTAAATTCTAGAAGGTATCTGCAAGAAGGTGAAAAAAAAAAAAAAAAAAAAAAAAAAAAAAAAAAAAAAAAAGGCGGGAAGGGGAAAGAAGACGGGGGGGGGGGGGGTGGGGGGCGGGAGGGTGGGGGGGGGGTGGTAATGCTGTGAGGGGAACATGGAACGTGCAGCACAGCATTGGCACATGCTCCTCCTTTCCTCCTTACAGTCGTGCCTGCTGTCGGCATGCCGGTTGCTGCTTGGGAACCTGAAGCCCCTTCACGCTATGGATAGACATAGAGATGCTTGACTGCCCCTTCACGCTCTGAATCTCTTGCTCGCTCTCTTGCTTGCTCTCTTTCTCGCTCTCTTGCTCGCTCACTTTCTCGCTCTCTTGCTCGCTCACTTTCTCGCTCTCTTGCTCGCTCACTTTCTCGCTCTCTTGCTCGCTCTCTTTCTCGCTCTCTTGCTCGCTCACTTTCTCTGCACCACCCTCCCCTACCTTCCCCCCTACCTTTCTCTCGCTCCACCTTTCACCCCTCTCCTTCCCCTCCCCTCCCCCAGGACGCTATTCTTGAGGCGGATCAAAATGAATCTCCGCCTTTCGCCCCACTCCTTCCCCTCCCCTCCCCTCCCCTCCCCTCCCCTCCCCTCCCCTCCCCTCCCCTCCCCTCCCCTAGGACGCCATCCTCGCATTCGAGCGCAACTTCCCAGTCCCTTCCCTTCACCACCCCCCGTCCTCCTCGTCCGTCCTCCTTCGCGTGGCAGCAGCCAGTCTAAACTTCGCGGACGCCCTGCAAATAATGGGGCAGTACCAGGAACGACCCCCGGTGCCGTTTGTCCCGGGTGCAGAGGTGGCGGGGGTGGTGGAGGAGGTGGGGGAAGGCGTGGGAGGGTTTAAGCGAGGGGATAGGGTTTGCGCCGTGGTGGGAGGAGGGGGGTTTGCGGATTTCGCAGTGGCAGATGAAGGCTCGTGGTGCGTGATTGGGGAAAGGTAGGGGTGGTGGTTCAGGGATAGGGTTTGCTGTGCTGTGGTGGGAGGAGGAGGAGGGGGCTTTGCGGATCTAGCAGTGGCAGATGAAGGCTCGTGGTGAGTGATTGGGAAAGCGGGGACGGTGGAGAGGGGAAAATGGGGGAAATGGGGAGAGGGGGAATGGAGGAAACGGGGAGAGGAGAGGGTGAGAGGGGGAGAGGGAAGAGGGAAAGGAAGTGTGGTGAGAGACTGTGGTTTGAGACAGGGAGGGAGCGTGTGTGACGCTGTGCAGTGTGGCAGTGGCTGGATCGTGGAAGCTAGTTTGATCTGAGAGGCCGGCATTATCACTTGTTGTTGAGTGGCTGGCTGGATGGTGTCCCCACTCTTACATGAGTATTACTCCACCCATTATTGTTCCCAGTTTTTTTCCAGTTTTTCCCAGTTTTTTCCAGCTTTTCCCAGTTTTCCATTTCCACTCCTGAGCCCCCTTCGTCTCACAGTTTCCATTCCACATCCATCCCTCCGTCCACGCCTTGCCATGCCCACATTCTTTTGAGACGTCTCAAAAACAACCTCGCTTCACGTGCCTTGCTATGCCCACATTCCCTGCCTTTTTGCCTCTCCTCCAACCTTTGTGTCTCGTGCTCCTTTCGTTCCCCTTCCTCTCCCTTCTCTCCCTTCCACATCCCTCCCACGGTGCCGTTCCCAGCAGCAGCAGCGTTGCGAGTAGCATTCAGCACTGCCCAACTTGACTAGACTCGACTCAAATGTCCCCCACTTCCCCTCTCCCTCTCCCTTCCTCTCTTCCCCCGCCCAGTTTCCACGTTCCTCCCTCCGTGCCCTTCCCGGCAGCAGCAGCGCTGCCAGTGGCGTTCGGTACGGCCCATCTTGCGCTCACGCCTTGGGCGCACGTGGGGAGGGGACACGTGGTGCTGGTGCTGGGACTGGTAATAGAGCCAATCTGCTCTTTTTCCCCCAAACCCACAGCACCCCACCTCACTGTCCCCCCTTCCCCACCTCATGTCCTTCCCGCTCCTCGTGTCTTCTCTCTTTTTCCTTCCTCCCCTCCCCCCCTTTTCCTTCCAGTTTCCACATCCCTCCCGCAGTGCCCTTCCCAGCAGCAGCAGCGCTGCCAGTGGCGTTCGGTACGGCCCATCTTGCGCTCACGCAGCGGGCGCACGTGGGGAGGGGACACGTGGTGCTGGTGCTGGGAGCAGGGGGCGGCGTGGGCGTGGCAGCAGTGCAGATATGCAAGCTGCTGGGAGCCACTGTCATTGCCGTTGCCAGGTGTGTTCAGAGTCAACTCAAGGTACGTGGTGCTGGTGCTGGGAGGGGGGGGCGTGGTGGGCATGGCAGCAGTGCAGATCTGCAAGCTGCTGGGGGCCACGGTCATTGCCGTTGCAAGGTGAGAGAAGAGGGCTTGAGACGTCGCAAACGTGCTGGTGCTGGGAGCGGGGGGCGGGGGGGGGGGGGGCGGCATGAGCGTGGCAGCAGTGCAGATCTGCAAGCTTCAAGGGGCCACTGTCATTGCTGTTGCAGGAACTGTCGAAGTAGAACAGGTGGGCTGCGGAGGCCTTATTTCCATCAACTCTTGCTGTTTAGGACAGAGAAACAAACCCCATGCAGTGCAGATCTGCAAGCTTCAAGGGGCCACTGTCATTGCTGTTGCCAGGTCAGTCAGGCTGGTAGTAAGGCATGTTGACAAAACCTAATCCTGTGAAAGAAAGGTTTTTTTGAGACGTCTCAAAACCACACTGCTTTTACATGGGGTGGTTCCCCTGGTAGCATCATTCGAAGGTGTGGCAGTGGTAGCAGTGCAGATATGCAAGCTATTGGGGGCCACTGTCATTGCTGTTGCCAGGTCAGGCTGGCAGTGTGGTGTGGTGTGGTGTGGTGTGGTGTGGTGTGGTGTGGTGTGGTGTGGTGTGGTGTGGTGTGGTGTGTTGTGGTGTGGTGCGATTTGGTGTGGTGTGGCTAGTGGTGAGGCTGGTGGTAAGGCATGCTGTGACCAATGGTGTGCTTCCACTGGGTGCATCATTCGAGGGCGTGGCAGTGGCAGCAGTGCACATGTGCAAGCTTCTGCAGGGAACAGCCATTGACGTCGCCTGGTCAGGATGCTAAACTCGTTTTCAAGCTGACTTAGAAGCGACAGGTTGGTTTGGGCATGCTGCGTGCCAGCACTGCAGATACGGGTGGTGGTTCTGGGATTGCATTAGCCACACTTCTCCTCCTCTTTCCTTCCCGTCTTTTGTCCCTTGGTATTCTTCCTTCCAGAGGGGCAGAGAAGGCCAATCTCCTGGCATCACTGGGAGCAGACCTTGTGATTGACACGGCGCAGCACACGCACCCCAACGCCATCCGCGACCAAACCACCCAGTTCCTCAAACAGCGATCCCAGAAGCGCTCCATTGGTGGACCGGGCGGCAGGCCGGGCGGCACGCCGGGCGGCGGGACGGGCGGCAAAGGCGGCAGGGGCGGCGGGGGGGTGGACGTGCTGTTTGACACGGTGGGCGGCGAGCAGTTCAAGCAGGGGCTGCGGGTGATGCAGTGGGGCGGGCACGTGCTGGTCATCGGCTTTGCCAGCGGTGCCATTCCTAGTATCCCAGCTAACATCGCTCTCGTGAAGGTCAGTTCTGGTGAAGGTGTGATGTGGTGATGCGGTGGGGCGGGCACGTGCTGGTCATCGGCTTTGCCAGCGGTGCCATTCCTAGTATCCCAGCTAACATCGCTCTCGTGAAGGTCAGTTCTGGTGAAGGTGTGATGTGGTGATGCGGTGGGGCGGGCACGTGCTGGTCATCGGCTTCGCCAGTGGCACCATTCCCAGTATTCCGGCTAACATCGCCCTTGTGAAGGTAAACACATGGTGAAGGTAGCATGTGGTGAAGGTAACTTGTGGCGAAGGTAACTTGTGGTGGAGGTATTGTGGGGCGAAGGTATTGTGGGGCGAAGGTATCTTGTGGTCAAGGTAAGCAATTTCGTTGCTGCTAAGATTGAACTACGGAAAAAGGGTATCAATCTGAATTTTAATTATAAAATTATTTTGACTTTTGAAAAAATATGTCCTTTTCCTTGTCCTTATCTTGTCTTCCGCTTCCGCCTCCCCTCCCTTTTCTTCGCTCAGAAACCCACCATGTATGGCATGTACTGTGGCAGCTATATGCACCAAAATGTTTTCACTCCCTCCATTGCTCTCTCCCCTTTCTTTCCCCACACCTTCCATCCTCACCCTCCCTTGCCACCCAGAACCTCACCATTCACGGTGTGTACTGGGGCAGCTACATGCAGCACAACCCCGCTGTGCTGCAAGCATCAATGCACCAGCTCCTAGCATGGCTTGCTAACGGCGCCATCATGGTCCACGTCTCACACTCCTTCACATTCAACCAGGTTGGTTCTCCTGGATATTCGTGGGTTTGTCTCCTACTTGACTTTAGAACAATGCACAAGCTCCTCGCATGGCTTTCACACGCCGCCGCCATCACCGTGCACGTCCCACACTCCTTCACCTTCGAGTAGCTAGCACAAAGCAAGCACTGCTTAGGAGGATCCGTTCCTGCTCCCTTCGAGGTGACTTTTGAGTCGACTCAAAAGTCACCTCGTTACAATGGCACACGACTGCTTAGGAGGATCCGTTCCTGCTCCCTTCACCCTATCCACTCGTCCTCCTCACCCCACTGTCCGCCGCCCCTTTCCGTTCCCCCACTCCCCTTTATTTCCCCTCATCCCCACCACCCCACCACCCCTCCTCCTTCCTGTATCCTCTCCTGGTCTCTCATGTGCTGCCCTGCCTTGGTTTATTCCGTGCTGCCCTCTCATACGATTGTCTGTGCTGTCTGTGCTGCCCTCTCATGGTTCTGTCTGTGCTGGCGTGCAATGGCAAACATTACAGGTGCACCAAGCAATCTTCACTCTCTTAAAGCGCAAGGCAGTAGGCAAAGTGGTGCTGCTGCCTCCCTCTGCTGCTGCCGGTGATTCTGCTACTGCTGGTGCCAGCACTGTTAGCTCAGGTCATATGAGCCGGCTGTGATGTAACCATCACTGGCTGTCATGTCATGGTGGTACTACAAGACAAGCGTTGGTGCCGTACTGAGATCAGGCCTCTCGTTATCAGACCAATTTGGTCTGAATTTCTGAATTCCAGACGTGATTTTTTGCATTCATCTGATTTCTAAGAAATTCTGTTTTTCCTCATCTGAGGAGCAAGACAAAGGCTTTACGTTCGTATGATTTTCCAGACCATGTAGAATACTTCGTCCGATTTTACAGATATCGAGTTCGGTTTCGTCTTAAACCGACAAATTTGCCCACTAGGCCATACGACCACTAGGCCATATGCGCCCAGTAGACCAAAGGACCACGGTTACAAGTATGGTTGCTGCCTTGTACCTGCACGCACATTCAATGTGTGTGTCTTGTAGCAGCCTCGCTGTCACGAACCTGCGGCATTTGCTGCCAGGTGCCTGTCGTGTAGCTGGCTGTTGGCGCCGACGCCAGCCACAGCCACGGCACTTCCCTTTCCTACACGTTACGTAAAAAAGGACGGTGGTTGTCCTGTCCCCCGCTCCCATCCCGCATCGCCTTTTGATGTACACTGCACGATGACGGGGGGGTCTCATGCAGCTGAGCGAGGCTTGTTGAACAGGCTGTTTGTGGAGCGCGTCCTCCTCCTCACCTCTCACCCAGCCGAGCATGGTCTGTTTCCCTCGTCACAGCTTCTTTCTTTCATCTAGTTTAGGCTATGGCCGACCCCACCGCTCCTGCGGTGTTAGACTTCCTAACGCGGGGCAAGCCGATCGCCCCTGTTGCCCCACCAATAATTGCTTCAACATCTGCTGCGGTACCTTCGCCCATTGACGATGCGCTAGTGTCGGAAAATGACGATAACTCTGCGCCATCGACCGCTACACCTACTACGCCAGTATCTACTTGCATGCCGTCCTGCGGTGCCGATAACAACATCCGCGACATATCTGACGCTACCAAATCCTCTCTCAGGGCTAACCCCGTCTTGCTCGACAGGTCATCAAAGGGGCTGTACAAGCAGCGTGTTCTGAACTTCGCGCGTCCGGGCGGTCCGACACAGCCGGCACCGTCTGTGGAGACGCGACCCGTGGCTCCCGAACCTGCGTCTAACGACTTCGAGGACCCCAAAGGCAAGAAGCTGTCGGTTGAGGAGCTTCAGCTGAAGTGCAAGGAGCAGTGGCAGCGATACTTTCCCTGGCTATTCATCTCCGAAACCAAGGATGGCCGACCCTGCATGCGCTGCAGCATCTGCATGGTTTTCGCCGACCCCCACTCCAAGTACGGGCGGTTCGGTGTTGGTGGCACCGACATTAAGAAGCAGACGATGCGCAAGCATCACCACAGCCTGAAGCATGAGGCGGCGGTCCTGCGGAAGGAGCAATGTGACGGAGCGAAGAAAGGACAGAGGTCCATTGTGGACTTTCACCAAGGGGACGAGGAGGTCAAGCGCCTTGCTCATTTGATGTCGATTGTTTTATTCATTTGCAAATCTGACGCACCCATTGTGCTCTTCGTGTCACTCGTCCAGTTCATGGCTGAGCAGGGGACTCCGGATCTGCCCCTTAAGGAGAACGGGACGTACTACATCGAGTAAGTGTCCCGTCTTTCACGTTTTGTGGTTTGTTTTCTTATAGTTGCTAATGAAAACATTCCCTACTTATTACAGGTACGGCTTCGCACAACCGGTCGAGAGTATGGTGTGCTACCTGAAATCTCGACAGTTGAAACTCATCCGCGACAGTCCTTACCTCAGTATCCAGCTGGACGAGAGCACCGACCGACGAAAGGGAAAACACATGATCGTCTACATGACGTTCATGCGTGACAACGCTCGCGTCACCGAGTTCTACGCATTGCTGACTGTGGAGCAGTGTGACGCCGCTTCGCTCACGACCGTTCTCCTTACCCGCTTGGAGTGTAGCGGCATCGATCTCCAGCGAATCTCCGGCATGAGCACTGATGGAGCTAGTGTCATGATCGGCCAGCACAACGGAGTGACCGCGCGCCTCAAAGAGAAGGTTCCACATATCGTGTCGTCACACTGCATCGCGCACAGGCAAGTGTTATCGTGCTTTGCGTTCATGCGGGATTGTTCTCTACATGATTTCTAATTTATCGTTACATGTCACTTTTCTATTTTTTTTGCAGGGAGGCCTTGGCGGCCAAAGATGCAGCCATCAAACACCCGGATTTTAACGTCGTGGACAAGGTGGTTCGCGTCGTTGCTGAGAACCTTGGTCGTTCTTCAGTCGTCCACTCACGCTTTATTGAGCTTCAGAAGGTCATCTGCGAGACCAACCTCGAAGTTCAAGGAATCAAGGACGTCCTTTGGTTGTCTCGCGGTCAAACTCTTGAGCGCTTGGTGAAAGTGTTTCCGGCGGCAGTGTTTGTCTTGCACGAGTTCGCGAAGAAGATGTACAAGGTCATCACTAGCTACAAGTTTCAGTTCATGCTGTTTTTCCTAGCGGATGTGCTGAAGGAACTCAACCTTCTGAGCTTGAAGTTCCAGCGTCGCCAGGTGAGCGTGTGTTATGCATTACAAGCATCGGTTTTTTTCAACCCCACATTAAGTACTGACCTTTCTTGTGCTTCGTTTCAGGTTGACGCGACCCATGTGCTGCCGATGGTACACAACACGACTTTGCTGCTGCGCACTCGTTACCTCGACGGCGACGACGAGTCTTTCGGCCAAGGCGGAGATGCTTTGGGCCCCTTTCTCAAGAAGCACGCGTCCAGGGAATGCCGAGAGGTGAAGCTGGCTGGCACATCTTCCGACGGAACTTCGACTGACCTTACCTACACACTCCACGAGGAGCCCATCAAAGGGCAGAAGACCGGTGCGGACCACGGTGCGTGTTTGGAGTTGGCGTGCGCGTTCGTGACAACCTTGATCGGCAGGCTCGATCACCGCCTCAAGGACCTCGCCAACCTCGACGGGGCGAAGCTGTTCAAGCAGGGGTCGTATCCCAAGAACCAGGCCAAGCGCGAGCGGAAACTTGCACAGTGGCTGCAGTCGCTGCGCAATATGTTTAAGAAGAAGCCTGAAGACCCCGACACCCTACCAGGTGCGTAAAATACTTGAAATTTGTAGCCTATGTGATGATTGCTTAACCAGATTACTGCATAACATGTTTTACCTGAATGTTTCATTTCTGTTGCACCTACTTCCCATTGCGAACCACACCCCGCAGGCATCAACTGGGCGCGAGCGCAGAGGGAGATCGTCACGTTCTCTACAATCATGGCCACACACCAGGAGGATGTGGGCTTCGCCGACAGCCTGAAGCTCAGGCTGTCTTCTCCCGACTGGACGACCTCCTACCCGAATCTCGTGCACTTGTGGATCGCCGTCGCCGTTCTTCCGCTCAGCACGGTTGAGTGCGAGCGCGGCTTCTCACGGCAGAATGTGATAAAGAGCTGGCTTCGCGGGAACCTGTGTGACGCGAAGCTAGGGGAGCTGATGACCATCTCGCTTCTCAGCTATGACATGGAGTGGCCCGATTTACTGAGGAGGTTCAACGCTTCAAAGAAACAAAGGCCTGCCAAGGATGTGCTGATGGCTTCCGGGGAGAGACAAAGCAAGCGCGCGAAGAAAAGATCTGCCTCAGCAGCCGCAGCATTGGCAGCAGCAGAAGCTGCAGCCCGAGAAGCAGCCCTAGCAGCAGAAGACGCAAGGTTTGATGCAAAATACCCCTGGCTCACTCGGAAAGATAGGGGAAAAGCTCCAGACCCTTTTGCGGAAAGCGAGGATGACATTGATGATGACGACAGCGCTGGTTGTGACTTTGACTAGGTTGCTAGTTATCTAGGATGTGCTAACTGCTTAACATATTGATAGATGTAATGCATAGTTAGGCTAAGTAGAAAATCCAACATATTATTACTTTGTGTTAGGTTCAGACCGGGAAACTTTTTTCGTCTGTTATATCAGACTCTGTAGAGTTTTTCGTCTTTACTGTAAGACAACTGAAGGTTGGTCATCTAGGCGTCAGATTTTTTTTTTTTTTTTTTTTTTTTTTTACTCTCAGGGTACATTCCGCTGTGGACACATGTCCCAATCGATGTGTCCCAATCGTTTCTACCGCACTGCATCGTATTACACCAAATTGCACCCTAGTTTCGAAATTTTCGCGTCTCTGGTTTAGTTCGGTTCGGAGCGGTACACTCGATTGGGACACATCGATTGGGACATGTGTCCACAGCGAAATGTTCCCTCAGACAGGTCCAAAACATAGCGAGAGCCCTGACTGAGATGTACGGCAGTTGCTCTTGCTGCTGCTGATACTTCGCATGTTGAGTTACGTGCAAGCAAAGCTTTTTGTGGAGTGTGTGCAAGGGAGTGTACACCAGTGTGTTGCCTTTCAGTGCCAGCACACATCGATTGGGGAGCCACTCTAGTAATACTGTACAGTACAGTGTTCTTTAAATGTACAAGTGGCCCGGCCGATTTCAGTATTACAGCAGAAGTATACAACAGAAGTCACCGTCTTATTGCCCAATTTCAGACACCCATCCAGTCCTGTAAAACCTCGTTAAAAGAAACTCCGCCTATCATCCCTTTATTCCAGTTTGACGCCCCAAAGATTGCGCAGTGGATTGACGAAGCTGGCAGGAACACCATCGCAGATGGCTTCGCGTCATCGAATGCAAGAGTCTCCTTATAAACCATAGACGCGCTTTCAAAAATCGCTTCTCTTTCCGCACTCGTACAGTAATTCGTGCTCCACTGTAGACCCCCCCATGACCTAGTGCGCACTATGTTGGTTAAATTACCTGATCTGTTCAGGATCTCCCCTAAGCATTGACTCACATATGCTTTTTCGCTTGGCAGTTGCTTGCCAATGGTGAGGGCAATGTTGTCAAAAAGCGTGTTGAAAACGAAGAGAGGAGTGGAAACAGTGCGGGAGATGGTGTATTGCGGAAAGAAGCAACGCCACCGGTATGTAGAGGAGTAAGCTGCAACAGGTGACATATGAAAGGGCAGGGGGAGGGGGGAAATCAAGGAGTTGAGTGCTAATGTGTTTGGGAGAACTTCCATCTGTGGTTACACTCAATTCTTTACCAGTGGAATCTGGGGACTGGTGTGGGGAGGACCCAACCAATAACCAGCATCACTAGTAGATGGTAAGTAAAGATAGATGACCGAATGACAGCCTCTCAACAATAAGTGCTGGAAGCAAAAAGAAGTCGTGTAACATATAGCGCTTTCCTACACAACTGTAGTAAGCGCATGAATGTGTGACTCTGTACGAAGACCCAATCAAGATCCGCGTCACCTTGTGCGCAGTCCCCGAAGTTGGGCTGGTGCAGCGCCACCATTTTCTGCGCCAGAGAGCGGAAGTAGAAGTTGCCGCTGCGGTCCTCCGAATCTGATCCAGGGGAAAGGCGCGAAGGGGAAGCGGCGGAAAGGGAGTGGGGTTGACTTTTGAGGCGGCTTGAAAGTGCGGGGGCTGCCACCACAGCCAGCTACTTTCACCGATCGATTGTCGGGATAGATTTTCGCTCACGATCCTGCGATATTTGCACTTTTACCGCGTCCTGAAAGGACTACTGCACAATAGACAGTGCCTTGCTTACACGCACAAGACACATTTATCCTTGTTTCCACATGCACCATTAGAAAATGACAGAGCCAACTATGCAGCAGGCATTTGTTTTGGCACCGCGACACACAACTTTTGAGGCGCCTCACAACGCTTGCCCCTGTACTTACACATACAGCATACACGCTCATCTCATTCCTCTCTCCATATGCTCACCAACAAAGAATCCCGAGTTGACGACGCAACGGGCATACACGACACACGCGTGCATCCTTCTTCACCACGCTCTCCAACCAAAAACCCCGCGACGGCAACGCAGCGCACATCAGCGGAAGGCACAGCAGCTGTTTTGGCGCTTCAAAAGGCGCCTTTTGAGGCGACTCACAACACGCGCCCCTGCTGTTACACAAGCAACACACACTCATCTCATTCCTCTCTCTCCACATGCTCACCAACAAAGAACCCCGAGTCGACGACGCAGCGCGCATTGGCGGAGGGTACAGCGGCAGCGATGGTGTCGCACAGATGCACCACGGCCTGCCCGCCCGCGGAGCTGCCGGAAATGAGCAGCCGCGAGGCCGAGCGAATGCCCCGATTGGCTTGAAGGTCTGCAGAGGGAGTGGAGAGGGGAGGGAAGGGGAGAGGAGGGGAGGGGAGGGGAGGGGAGGGGAGGGAAGGGGAAGGGGGGACCAGTGTTGAGATGGCAAGGGAACGAATTGCGGAGTGGATGCATCACAGCAGCAGCGATGGTGTTGCACAGAGCTGCCTGCCGGAAATGAGCAGGCGCGAGGCTGAGCGAATGCCACAATTGGCCTGGAGGTCTGGGGAGACAGGCGGGGAGCGGTAAAGAGTGGGGGAGGCGAGAGGGGGAAAGAGAGCGAGAGGGTCGTGGGGGAGAGAAGGGAGGTGGCATGGAGATCGAGAGGGAACAGAGTTGAGTAGATGTGTGATGGTCAGAGAGACAAAACCCAGTCAAAGCAGTCAGGGGTTGCAGTAGAAATTCAACAAGTTTCTACCTCCGCAATTTGAATACTCTCACAATAATGCATGCGACACGCAATGCCTCTGGCTCACCTTTCAGAATCGCTTGTATAATGTTCCATCCGTCCATGTACACCACATCCCCGTTAGAAGACACCCGCCCTCTGGTTCCGAGAAAACCCCCGCCGTCACAATACACGACTCGTACGAGGTTCCAGTTATAGAAGGCTGGATTGACGGAATCGTCGCCGCTCAATATACCGTTGAAGGGGGGACTGATGACCTTGCTCTGGAGGAGCGCGGACGGGTGGGAGTGGTGGGAAAGGGGGTTCAAGGAGAGAGAGAAACCTATCAGAAGCTGGTTCACGGATTGACGGAATCGTCGCCGCTCAGTATGCCGTTGAATGGGGGACTGATGACCTTGCTCTGAGGGACTGCGGGAGGGGCGAGAGGGGCGGAAGGGGAAATTCAAGGAGAGTGAGAGGGCAATCGGGGGCTGGTTCACGGATTGACGGTATCGTCGCTGCTGAATATGCCGTTGAAAGGGGGACTGATGACCTTGCTCTGAGGGGACGGTAGGGTGGGAGCGGTGGGAGGGGCAGGAGGGGCAGGGACGGGGGTTCAAGGAGAGAGGGAAGGCTATCAGGGGCTGGTTGTCAGTTTGGCGGACTCGTGGCTGCTCAAGGTGCCGTTAGTGCGTGATGGGCGAGATGGGAGAGATGGGCGAGATGGGAGAGATGGGGAAACGTATGCAGAGGAGCGGCGATACACAACGTTGGCGCGAGTTCGAACTAAAGGACATGCTACTATACATTTGTATCACACTACAATCAGGGCTTTTACTTGTTACGAACTGACGCTATAAGATTGGACGGCGAGGTGACGACACAACAAGGCGACGAGGCGCAAAGGTAGAGAGCCAAGGGTTGCACGATTCGCGCTGACCTTAGTGGTGCCGTCAACCGGATACGTTTTGTAAAGCCGAGATTCGTCCCCGAGCGTTGACTTTTGAGTCGACTCAAGAATCACCTCGTTACCTTAGTGGTGCCGTCGACCGGATACGTTTTAGTAGAGCCCAGGTTCGTCCCCGCGCGTTCCGCGCACTCCGCCGCACTGAAGCACCACGCTCCCGGCGGAAGGAATATGTGCCAGTTCAGCCGCCCCGCGCCCCGCCCCGCGCGGAAATAGTACCCGGGTGCACTGGCGGAACGGGCGGGAGAAGGAGGTGGCCGGGGAGGAAGTGATGATGGAGAGGGGGGTGGGGAGAGGGGGAGGAGAGGGAGGGAGGGGGGAGTGGGGGGGAAAGGGGGGACATGAGGGACGTGCGGGTAGGGGGAGGGGAGAGGGATAATTCGGCGATGGACAAGAGGGGCAGCGAACGATGGGAGAGAGGTAAGGGGAACGTAATTCATGTAGAGTGCGCGGTAACGAAAAAGAACGAGGGGGAAAGGAGGGGAGGGGCGGGAAGGGAGGGAACGGGAGAAGGGGGGGAGGGGTGGGGGAGCGGAGTGCAGGGGGAGACGGTCGAATGTGAACTGACTTGAAATATTTGAGCCAGGGGTTGCGGAGGAGGGGGGTGGAGGTGGAGGAGTGGGGGAAAGAGATGGGGAGTTGCGCAGGGGTTAATGATCGACCGCCTTATTAGGAGATGAGTCCGAAAGGCGTCTATTGTTGAGGCGCCTTAAAATTTTGAAGGGGCTCAAGGTCGAAAAATCTTGTAGAATTCGCACTAAAGTCGCTTCCTTATTACAAGTCACAAAAACAGGCGTTTCTTGAAGACGGATAAAAAAATAAAACGCCTACATCAATGCATGCAGAGTTGAGACTCCCACGAATGGCTCACCTCCCATCGAGGCACCGCGCTCCCAGAGCATTATTCGGCAGCAGGATCAGATTCGTCCCCGATGGCGGCGGCGGCGTGTCCGGCGGCGGCGGGGAAGGCGGCGGCGGTTCTTCCGGCGGCTTTCCCGAGATCAGCGATAGGATTAGCTGGACCATCAGCCATAGCGGTTTCGTTTTGCTGCTGCTGCTGCCGCTACTGCTCCTGGTGACATTTAACCGGGCCATAACAGTCTACGTATTCTTAAATCGGTACGCTGGACGTAAATTCGTTACTACGCTAATGAGCGCTTCAGAGTGTTGAGGAGCTGTAATGCAGTGGGAGTCACTTAATGGTATACGCGTTACAGTATTCTCCGAAGTAATGCTAATGCGGCCTACTAATTTACGAGGCGATATCGCGACTCCTTGCCGCGGAGAATCTCTGCAACGCGCGTCACAACTACGACTCGTGAGAACGGCGCGGCGCCTGCAAGCTGGCAACAGCTAGTATTGTGCTATGAAAAGCGGAAGCGGCGGCGAGGCAAGCTCATGTGCACCCCGCGACAACCAGTACCGCGCTTTCTATTTCACTTCTGCTAACAGTCGTCCTCTCGTGAAGTCATGGCACCTATTCGGGACCCACTCGGACTAAGCTCGTGTGCGTCCTGCGACGACCATTGTTACTACGCGCCAGCATAAACAGAACCGAAATCTCCATCAGTGCTGTTGCATATCTTAATGTTTGAACCGAGGCCAGTGGTGGTGGTGGTGGTGTGGTGTGGTGTGGAGAGAGTTATCGCTTTTCCAGAAGCGGAAGTCGGTTATCCTCCTGAACTCGACGCGATTCTCGTCGCTTCTCCTACCCTCGTCGTGCCCAGGGGCGGTTTGGACCAGGGCGGGTGGGGCTCGTATCGGCGGCGCTCTGTACAATCTACCCTTGCCCTTGCTTGCCTTGCCTTCTCGCCATGCCATGCCATGCCAGTGATGCCACTCGATAGGCCAGGCTTTCAGTCAGCCTGTTTGTCGGCCCGCTTGTCGTTGTCGGCCCTTGTTATGCCATCCTCCTGCCTGCCCTCTTACTTGAACCGCTGATGGAAATTGCTGAACCTGAAGGAATATCATTTAGATAAACTTGGGCAAAATTCTGACTATCAGCTGCAAATGGTACACCTAGCCCGCGGTATCTTCACCGGCTGAACGTTTTTCTTCCAGGCCCCCATTATGCGTTTTCGTCTAATGAGACGGTCACCCGGGGACTGCGGGGCTAACAGTACACAGCCATAATTCATTTCTGTCTAATGCACTCGTACTTAGTGATCTGAGAGAAGGGCAGGAATTGGCTTTTAACAAGTTCCTACTTTTCTTCAACTGGTGAGGGTATGCATGAGTCTACCCCCTCCGAATCCGAAACTACCTTAATAAACTAGCTTGACCGCGGAAAAGTACCCCCAGCTGGTGAAGATACCGCCGGTGAAGTTAGCGCGGGCTAGGTGTACAGAACTTACGGGGCGGTTTGACACAAAGTTGCCACCTCCCTGCCGCAGAAGTGGGGAAAGTCGCCCCTGAAACCAGCGCTTCGGCCCACGACAGCCATTCTACAGTTGAGCCGCCGACGCACCGCGTTACCGCTTGTTACGGGCACTGCGGCGAGGTGGAAGAAGCGGCTTGGTTGGATGATGTGGAAAATTTTGCAAGGCATGTGAAGCAGCACATAGTACATACGTATTCCAACTATACAATTTGGATTTGCAATACCTGCCATATGCACATTTATGCTGAAAAAACGGAATTCATTGTCGCTCAAGTTTAACTCCCTGGCACATCTGGAAATGTACCAAAAATCCCATACGTCCATAATGCACACTTATGGTTCCACTTCAAGATTAAATCCTGTATCAATTGGCATGCTATATACGCACACACACACACACACACACACACACACACACACACACACACACACACACACACACACACACACACACACACACACACACACACACACACACACACACACACACGCACACACACACACACATACACACGCACACGCACAGACACAGACACACACACACATACACACAAAGAGACATACACACACAGACATACATACTCAGACATACATACACGCACGCACACACATACATATCCACCCACACAGACACAGACACACACACACACACACACACACACACACACACATACATACACACGCACGCACACAGCACACACATACATACGCACGCTTATATATCCACACATTTTGCATTTCCGCAGGGTCCCACATGGTGGAGGTCGCGTCTGTGTGATTCAGTCGGGTGAAGTAGCCCATGCTCATTTCCAAAAAGGACAGACATTTCTATGCAATTAGGTTGACAATTGAGAGTACACTCTCAACTCCCAGCCAGATAACGAAGATCCTCGAAACCGGCATACTTGGCATGAGGTCCGTACAGTACCGTACATACATATCGTTTTTTTCAATACCTCCAGGACAAAACCGTTTGGGATCGCGACACTCCAGAAGCGACAGCGGCAGTGACCGTAATTGCTGGTCTTTTGCTCCAGCACCTGACCAGCGGTGGGGCTTGTGTTTGAATGCTATCGCACTTGCTCAATGACATCGGAATATAAATGGTTGCTCAACAACATCGTCAATTGCTCAACATGATATCGTCGGGCACAGCGACATTGTTTTGGCCTGCCCATCGTTCTTCTTCAGGTTGAGGAGCGGGCAACAGCAATATGTGCAAGTTGCACAATGGAATAGACACTCGTCAACAGCTGTTTTGCTTTCTGTCCAGATTTCTTTTATATTTCTATCAAATTATAGACAGCTAAATGTGCACTCACTTCCAAAGCTGGTTGTTGCCAGCTCCATATGTGCGTTACTTAAAGGCGGGGTGCAACTTCTTAGGAACAGTAGGGGGACAAAAATTGAGAGGATGGAAAATTGATTGCATCGTCAACTCGATTGTTGCTGACCGAATTCCGTCAGCACTACCTCAACAAAACCGTTTCATCTACAGTTCAACTTCGGTGATGCGCCTTTGCCCCCAAGCGGCACTCCACGGTCGCAGGTTCTAGAAACTGCCACCAACTCCCACCTGCCTTGAACCTCTTCACTGTGCTGTACACTAGTCGTGGTGGTGGTGGCGGTGGCGAGGCGAAAATCCTCCCTGAGCTGACCGTTTTCTAGCTGGTCCGTTCGATGACAAGTCATGCACGAGGCGAAGCATCCACAGACCCGTGACCATGCTGACTTCGGAGTGGACGCCTTCCGCCAAGCGTCAATGAATTATTGCGCATCATGTTCCCACCGAACCATACTGTACCTCAGTGTTCCCACAAAAGTTTTTTGCCTGTCTGGACTCACTCCTCCCCTTCACCATCCAGCCACGTCGACATCGGAGGGAACACGGAAACGCAGCAGATCCAATCAGCGCGAGAAGCGGAAAAGGAGGAAGGGAAGGGCAGAGGGGTTTGTGGAAACCTGGGGTGGGGAGATGGGTGACCGAACAAGCCGAGGGCGGACGAGCAGCCAGAAGCGAAACCCCAATTACCGACAGCAGCTGTGGTGTGTGTGGTATGGTGTGGAATGGGATGGAATCGGATGTGATGGGATGGAATGGAATGGAAGGCCGTTTCCAAGGTTCTGCTCCACGGGAGGAAGGTTTTCCCTCATCATTGGGTTGGAGGGAGGGAGGTCCTCCAGTCAACTTAGATGTACGGTTATGTGCAGGAAACCTTTTGACTGGCACCCAGGGCCATCAAGCCCTATCGATCCCCCCCTCACCTTCACCTCACCACCACCTCTTTCTCGCGTAGCTACCATCATCTGTTCCTACTTCTTGTACTGCTGGTTTCGTATGCTTGCATTCACGTCAACCCTAATTCTCTGAGCTCCCACTGTATAAGCTACGTTTTAGCATGCAGGCCATGATTCAGCTGTTAACCTCCGGTTCTCGTGTGTAATATACATAGTCTTGTACCTTAGATCTCCATTATTAGTGAGTTCTAGACTCGACGGAGCTGTTCTTTGCTGTACCTTACAGCGCCTGTACCTTATTCTTTATACATTTCGAAACGAACCAGGAAACGCTTACCAGCCAGGCTACCATATCGTGCGCTGGGTGCGACTTTGGCGAATCGACGCTATCAATATCAGAACGCCATCAAGAGCCATTCTTGCCACCGTCAATCCTACAATTGTTCAGGTCCCCATCGTAAACTCCGCCCCAGCTTTGTGTAGACCTGTGAGCCGCAGCCATGCCTAGGGTTTCTTTCCTTGCGTCCAGGCAAAGACCAGCCGCTGGCTCTTTCGATTCGCTTCGCGTCGAATCTGTCGGCTCAGCATCTAACCCGATGCACCCGCGACAACCTTGTTCCCTCTCAGTAAATCGTTCTCCTTCAAACGCCGTGTCTGCCGCCGCCACTGCCGCTTCTGCTGACTCGAGCGGAGCCCATACGGCTTCCTGTCATCCGTTCCCCGCGTGTCAATCCCGAGGCGGAGTTCGGCCACAATCGTCTCTCCGCTCACCAATCTCACTAAGGCTGCAACGGTTGTCCGTGACGGTTCCTAATTCGCTCCATCCTCTGGTGTTTCTGGCCCTCGTTCTCCTCCACTCCGCGTCTCACGCCGAAGCGTGTCCGCGGCGCATGCTGGCCGAGCCGCAGTCTCCCGTCTCGGACCTCGTTAAGGACGACATTGTCTCGCTTATAACGGAGCTCCGCGATATCGATAAGCAGTACTCGATCATAACGGCGTACATGGATCAGCTAGGTGCGTCTACGTGGAGAGCAGAGCCTAATTCCCCGTGCTTCCGTTATTATTTTCCGATCCGTTCTCTGATTCTCTTATTTGCGTGTCCTCTTGCCACCACGGCCACGGCTACTTCTCCTATTGTTCCGCGTTCACAATTGAACCACCCCTGGACCCCTTTCGACCTTATCCCCGTTCTCTTGTTTTCTTTGCTCGAGCATCCTGTCCTCTCTTTTGTACCCTCCTCCCCCATTTCCCCTCCCACCTTTCCGCTTCTTCTCGTTCGTGGCTCACCTATCCTCTCTCCCCCTCTCCCCACTTCCTTGCCTTTTCTTTCCGTCCCATCGCTGCTTGTTGTACCTTATCGCAGTGGCGGTTCCTAACGCGGATTTCTCGTGGGGCGTGAACACCACGTGGCTGCTCCCAACGGACAAGGCCATCAACATGGCTCGCAGAAAGGATAAGTCTTTCACGGGAACCATCTCCCCATGCCATTTTATCCAATATCGCCGCGCGTACAGCCGGCAGGAGTGTGGCGAGCCCCTTCCGCTCATCCTCCTCCCCAGCAACTGGACAGCAGCGGCTTCAGTCGGAGGGACTGGTGCGGATTTTGGCGGGACTGCGTGTACTGTGAAGCGGTATTTGCCGCCGCCCACTCGTGTGGTAATTGGGAGTGTGGACGATAAGAAGACACGGGGAATGATTGTCCATCCGAGCTTGTATGAAGGGAACTACATCAGTGCACACGGTGTTGATTCGCTGATCTTGCCCTGAAGGGTGTAACGCTTTCCGGAGGGGGGGGAAAGGGTGCCCTTGCATGAATGTGCAAATGGATGGGGATTGCTGGGGGTCTGGGAATGGAGGTTTCAGAGGGGGAATGGTTGGATTCAAGAGCCTCCTGATGGTATAGTGTGCAAAGCCAAACAGCAAGTTTTCCTGCCCTGACTTGACAGATGCTGGCAGCTCAAACTGTCTCTTTGCTTAAATGTTTGTTATATTTTTCTTGTACCTACTGTAAAAATGCTTGACACATTTCTGCCCTATGGCAACCTAGAGGAGGCTCCCATCCTAGTTCCTGTTTCTACACCCCGATCCCATATCCAATATAGACATCACATAACACTGGTTTCACTAAGTCAGCATCCCTAAATCAAACGGGGCTTTGAAATAGCACAGCGTTAATCCCCTGTGCCGTAAAGTACGGCCCTGAATACAGACTCGGGTGCACAATCTGAGCTCGAGGCTCCTCCACACCCGCAGGACCTAGGTACACCACGTTTTCGGCAGGGGCATACCGCTGTAATACACTCCCCAGCTGCATGGTATTCACCATCCAGCCTTCAGGTTGAAAGACGATGGGGAGCGCCTGGCCGCACACTTGCTTGCTGAACTCGAAGCGGCCTTTAATGATGTGGTTTGGCAGGAGGGAGGAGAACGCCGAGCCTTGGCCGCGGTTGATACCGGAAGCAGAGAAGGTGGTTGTCTTGGGAAGGAGGAAGGTGGTGTTGAGAAGGTCCAACAGCGGGAATGGTGAGGACGGCTGCAGAACTGGTGGTGAGAGCGGGAAAAAGAGGAGAGAGAGAGAGAGAGAGAGAGAGAGAGAGAGAGAGAGAGAGAGAGAGAGAGAGAGAGAGAAAGAGAGAGAGAGAGAGAGAGAGAGAGAGAGAGGGAGAGAGAGAGGGAGAGAGAGGGAGAGATATGAGTGAGAAGAGAGATGTAGAGCGAGTTTAGGACTCGAAGACTTGAAAGTCTGTTGTTTGACTCCAACCGAACCGATTGACGTAACGCACTAATGCAAAAATGGGACACAAACCCAAGAAACACTGAAAAGAAAGAAAGCAGGCGAGGAAGGAGCCCGGGAAATTATAGGTCACCAGCATAAGGACTCCATATGATTGACTCCTTGTCGGACAAGTTGTTCGAAAGAGACAGTGCCGAGATTGGCGTTATCAGGAATAGACGGTGCGAGAGGATCATTGCCAACAAGGAAAAAAGTTTGCGGCGTACGTGTATTGACCATGGCCGCGGCGGAATTGTACTGATGAACCTTGAGCAGCGTTTCGCGGAGCTTGACTACCTCGGCGCGAACATCCGCCGTCGTAGGGCCGCTTTGAAGCACGCGACGCAAGCAGGAACCCTCCGCGGCTCGAAGGAGTAAGAGAAGGGCGAGGAAAGAGCAGGGCGCCGCGGCTCGGAACGCGCAATGCGAGCGACAAGATGATGATTTTTTTTGTCGACGCAGATGATCGTCGGTGAAGGCCGACCGACGGCGTGCGACGACTGGCGACATTAGAAGAGCTTCTTACGAACAAACGAATATATATGTATATAGAGAGGCCCCACGTGCCAATGACAATTAGATGGATGAAAATCCTTATGACATCACCAATCAGCGCCGCGGGAGTCTAAATAAAGGAGGAGTTTACCATGTGCACTGCATATACTAGCGCCACGTTGGGAGACAGAGCAGCGATAATTTGCGCGCGGATTTGCTGTAATCGTTCTCGCATGTTCTGGCCTGAACTGCGAGATCTGATGCTGATAAAACGAACACTTCAACCGGTATAGACAAGATTGCAAGGTGAGCGGCGAAGAACGTAGGGAACGACACTACTGCCTATTCAGCAACTGTGAGAGCTGCTAAGATCTGTGGTGAATGCAAATGATAGAGAGACTGAAGGGCTGAAGTGGGAGGATGAAGAGGACGACGAAGAAGATGAGGATGGAACAACAGGAAAGGAGAAGCAGCCCTGTCCAGCACTAATGGCAAGTTGGCGTGTGGTGGGGGAGAGGCTGCTGCTTTGCCACGCCAAGCCACGCCAGATGACCATGAAGTTGCTTCCCATCCCACGCAGGTTTCAACCAATGAGCAGTTGCGGGTGGAAGGGGTGGTGGGGTGGAGTTTGGCAGCAGGCCTCTCTTTTCGTTTCAAGCCACCCTTTCATCGGGCGGTGGGCGTAGCACCTCAGGGACTTCAGGGTAGTCTGTATGTGCACCATGCAGCCACCTGTGCGAAAACGAGGGAAGCTGGGACGATTTCAGCGTACTTGTTCGGGAATCTCGGTCTGCAGGTTTTTTTAAAAAGTACTTCATTGGGAAGTCACATCGAAACCCGATATATAGAATGACCTGGACTCGGAAAGGCAGCTTTTCCACAAAACCGCCTGGACACCCCAAATGGCGGCAAAAACAGAGTAATCCGCGAAAGCTGAATGACAGCTGCTGCTTCCTTGTCTGGCCATTTGACGTTTTTGCCTTTAATGACAAGTGATACCCTTCGGGCACCTAAGTACACACGAATTGGTGCAGTTTACAGCGATTAATGCAGTTCTGTCAACGTAAGGAATATTACCACCCAAATTTTAGCCAGAACGATGAAACTTATGATATCATACCAGAAGATTAGAATGTGGATCAGAGTATCGTTAAGTGTTAATAAAGAGTTAGTCCTAAAGTCGATGTCGAAGAGGAGCATTGAACAGTTAAAACAGATGCAACCCAGCCTTCCTAGCCGAAACTCTTGGTTCGGTCCATTTGCAATACCACCGTGTTGTCTCCATCTGGGGTAGTCAGTTGGAGGTGGGACTTGTATTCGCTGTCTTGTACAGATTGTCCAACGGCTGCAACACACACACGGCTGACAGCAATGGGAACGTGATGAGCGGCCCCATCGAAGCATAAACACAACTTGTGAAAAACCCATCGAGGGTGCAAAATGTGATGTCGGAAATAAACTTTCAGGATTTGGAAAAATAACTTCGATTTAGCCATTTCCAACCACTCTGAAAAAGGTACACGCGCAGACAGAAGGTGAGTGGTTGGTGTATACAACAACCAGGAGCCAAACCTCATGTTTCGGTTCAGGAACGCGTTTGAGGTGAAACAGTTACGGTTCTGTTCCAAACGGTTTCGCTCGGGCCACCCTGGACCTGAGTGAGAGGAGGACACACACACACACACCTATGTTCGTGAGGACGTGCTTGCGACCATTTTCTGTTCGTCGGCAACATCTCCCTCGTTCATCCTCCCCCACACACACACCTCTGTGGACGTGCTTGCGACCATTTTCTGTTCGTCAACTGGTCCCTCAACGATGCTTTGAAGTACCGTTTGTGAGTATATGCTGCTATTTTAACACATATTTCTGTTCGTCATACAAACTAGGGTATAGCCTCCTCAGGAGTTTCGACTTCTAGATCGCATAAAGAACGACAGCAGAAGGTGGACGTGGAATCCTGGATTTACCACCACCTGGGTTCACCCAAGGGCGGGCTACAACCCACCCTAAGTGGGCCACTTAGGCGCGACATGTTCGTGACTTCCACAACGAGTTACAACTTTCATATTTTTGTTAAATAGCGGTACCCTTGCCTTCTCCATGCACCTTCAAATAATGGAGAAAATATACAAAGGTTAGAAATTGGAAATTGTCAGCACATACTCATACATTTGTCTTACATACCATATATGTTATGTTGTGTTATACTAAAGCATATGATAATAGTTTTGGCAGATGTCACATCATAATAATACCCCCCTTTCTAAATGCCCTCATCATCATTTTCAGCTTCTAACATGGTATCATGCTTCCGCCCCTCTTACCTTCCTAACTGCCCCCCATACCCTCGCGCTCCCCCACCCCTAGCGATCCTCCGCGCAGCCCTTGCGACCCTGCCTAGCGCCACCCCTTTGCGGCCGCCCTCGTCCCCATCCCCCCCCACTTGTGGCCCCCTAGCTGCCCCTTAGCCCACCCCCCCCCCCCCCCCCCCTCGTTCGCCACCGTCGGAACCACCCTCGCGCCCCCCTCACCACGGCCCTCTCACGACCTCGTCATGACCCCCCTTTGTGACCCCCTCACTGCCCCCCTTCGCGACCCCCTCACACTACGGCCCATTCACTGCCCCGTAATGGCTCCGTTGCCGCCCCGTCTCGGCCCTGCTGCCACACTACCCCCACCCAAGGCTATCGCACGCATGTCGCCACCTGTCGCGCATATGCCGCGCGCCTGCTGCGCACCTGACGCCGCCTGCCGCCTTCCTCGCCGCGCCGCACCTGTCAGCTGCCGCCTTCCGCAGCGCCTACTCCCGCGCATACAGCTGCTGCTCGCCACCACGTACGCGGCTGCCGAACGTCTCCGCGCCTGCTGCTGCAGCCTGCCACCACGCCTATTGCTGCTCGACACCGCCGCGCCTACAGTTGCCGCACGCCGCCGCGCCTGTAGCTACTGTCCTATTACCGCCCTGCCGCGGCTGCGTTGTTGCGTTGCCTGCTGTGCCGCCCGCTGCCTGCCTGCCAACCTCTGACTGTCTCTTCTTGCACCTATTGTTGTCCCCTCTCATCTACTGCAGAATGCTGTCCGAGTTCTTACTACGGCTCGATGCGGAGGGGCGGGCGATCGAATTTGACTCGTGGCTGTTCGACGTTACACTCCACCCGCGGAGCTAGCGCCGGGATGATGTCTCCTTGTACGCCCACGTGTCGGGTGATCTACTTGCCCCCCAGTATTCTACAGCTCTAATTACACCCTCTTTCGCGCTAGTAGCGCTTCTGATTATGCAACATGCGTAGGTTGTAGAACTTCATCACATTCATATTTTTCTTATCATCTACGGTACGTGCACATCTTGTCGCGAGAATGATGACTGCCACATGGACTGTCCAAATGGTGAAATTGTCAGCAGGCTTGTGGTATAGGGTTGTGAAACTTTCTTGATTTCACAAGATCAGAGCCTCACTTCGCAACTTACAGCTGGTTTGCCGCCACGTGCGGCTTT